TCCAACAAGACAATGATCCAAAACATAAAACAAAATCTACAATGGAATGGTTCACATAAACATATCCAGGTGTTAGAATGGCCAAGTCAGAGTCCTGACATGAATCCAATTGAGAATCTGTGTAAAAAAACTAAAAATGTCTGTTCACAAATGTTCTCCTCTCAACCTAACTGAGCTCTAGCTGTTTTGTAATAAAGAATGAGAAAAAATGTAAGTCTCTCGATGTGCAAAACTGATCGAGACATACCCCCAGTGACTTGTGCCTGCATTCGCAGCAAAAGGTGGAGCTACAAAGTTTTAACTCAAGGGGGGTGAATAATTTTGCACACCCATTTTTTCTTTTCTTTTTTTATTTGTTAAAAAGGTTTAACATATCCAATATATCTTGTTTCATTTCATGATTGTGTTGCACTTGATTCTTCACAAAAATTACGATTTTATGTCTTTGTGTTTGAAGCCTGAAATTGGGCGGAGGGTCGAAAAGTTCAAGGGGGCAGAATCATTTATCAAGGCACTTTTAAAGTATACACAGGTTAGGGTAAAAATATGTATGGGTACAACAGTAATAGTGAATGTAAGATGTTAAATCACAGGAGCCAATGAAAAGATAGCTTTCATTCTAGGGTCCAAGCATGGTTCAAACATTTGTGTCGGAAGTGTGATAGAAATGCAACAATGAAACATTAATGTTCAAAGCAAAGAATAATCTATTCACATTTTTAAAATGGCAAGTATGTTCTTTATATGACCAATAATGATCAGTTTTATTTAAAGTTCTCCACTCTGCTTAACAGGAGATGTCAGCAATACGTTTTCTGTCCATCCAAACATTTAGAAATGGGAATTTCAGTGCAACCAAATGGAGGCTATTTGTGACAGTTTAATCCCTAAGGTGACATGGCCTAAATGCTAACACAACCGATTAGTTTCCCTTTCGGTAGGTTGCAGTTTGCAGATTAGTCTCTCAGCTCCAGCATCATCTCTGGCGGTGGACCATGCTGTTAGATATCAAAAAGCCCTGCTTCTTTTTCCTTCCAAAAAGCAAAGCTGCGATCAATGTATCTGATGATTTCCTCATTGCTGAATTCCTTGAGCTCATAAATAACTTTAATTGCATCCTCAGTAACTTCATCTCCTTTTGAAGCTTGATCAATAAGAGGTTCTTCTGTGAATCTAACTTTAACAGGTGGACGCTCCTTCTTTGGATCTCGACATGAGGTGTCTGTGAAGTTCTGTTTTCTTTCCACTTCTTTTGCACCATTGGCTTTCATTTCCCTTTCTGATATGATTTCAGACTCATTTGACGGCATAAGCTCCTGAACGTTGACCTCCGATGCGGCTCTGTTCTCAGGGACATCAATCTGGGCAGCAGGAGGTGATGGTGAAGAAGTTACATCTAACTGGGAGGTTGGTGGAGGAGGTTGTGTTGTGACTATAGAGGTTGTAGACGGTGCAATCGGAGATGGGGGTACCGAATGGGTGGGTGGAGGAGGCGGAGGATGGGAAGGTGGGGGAGGGTGCGATTCCTGTAGTGCTGACATATCAGGAGATACTGAATTTAGAGATGCTGTCATCACACCTCCACCATCATCTACATCTCCAAAGTGTTTGAATTTGATGTCTTCGAAGCCGTCCTCCCAGTCTCGTTTTCCACTCTCAATTTCCACCATCACTTCCTTGTGAAACTGTCTTATAACTTCCCATTTATGACTGCCGAGACGGTCAAACATCTCATAACACAAGAGGTGGCGGAACTTTCGCTCGCTACGAGACATGTTCATTTCTAGAAGCTGGAAGTATCCAAGCATGAAGAGGTCAAGGGTTAGACTCTCATAGCGTACAGGGGATCCATCAATGTGCGGCAGAAAGTGCTCTGGCCAGTATATCATCTGGGAACGACTCAGCCTCCGGATCTGCCGTGAGGGCACTTGGCTCATGATTGATCTCCAGTGGCCTATCAGATTGCCAACTACTTGCTTTGACTTCATAAACATAATCAGTTTGTCATCTTCACTTTGCATTTCATCACCTATTTGAGCATTGAACTGACTGTAGTCCTCACAGCACACATCCAAATAGTGTCCCCTCCTGCCTGTGTATTTAGTCCGATAAGATTCTGAGATGGTATACTTCCTCCAGTGCTCGAGGAACAAAAGGACAATTCGCTCTTTCCTCATTTCGATGCACTCCTGGACATAGCTTAGATCAGTCTGTACCTCCAGGCTACGTTTTAGCTGATCATCAGTTAAAACAGGGTCTGAAGAAAGAACCTCATTAAACTCTTTAATGTGTGTTGGAGCCATTGCCCCAGAAGAGACATACAATGGAGAAACATGGCATTCAGTGACAATTGGTTCTTCAACAAGTGGTAAGATAGGTTCTGAAGGCAAAAACCCATTGCCTCTATAGTCAGGAGCTGTGGGTGAGGAGGAAGGAACATTACCCTCACAGGTTAGCTCTAGACCATAACTGGACTCACTGACCACTGGAAGTGACATTTTGCGTTTGTAAATACTAATAGCTTGGTCATTTGTTGACTGTGTCTGATTTTGAAGTTCATAATTAGCCTTCAGGTTTTTCACAGAAACTCCACACTGCTTTATCTCCCTTTCCACATCTTCTCTTGTAGAGAAGGACTGGGATCGCCCAATGTTTCCTGTGTTATCAGTTGTTTGACACGGGCCTGTGCTAATACTCTTTGCTTCTTGTTGATAATTTCCAGAAAATATAAGATCTAAAACGTCTAGCTCCTTTCCTCCCAGGGTTGCAAGGAGAATCGCCATACTCTTGAGCAAGGTAGAGATTTTGCTACACCAGGCTGGTAGATCCTCAGCTTGGCCATGCACTTGCTTTGGATTGACTGAGAAATACTCCTGATTAAGAGCAGCAGAGACAGGCAGTAACTGGTGAAGCTCTCGCTCTAGTTCCTCCAGTTCCTTCTCAACTTCTGACATTTTATGCATGACCTGCAGGTTCTCGATTTGTTTCTCAATACGATTTAGATCAGCTTCAGTCATCAGTTCCCCAAATGGCCCTAAAATGGCATTGTGGATGTGGGAGTAGTGCCATTCCTGTGGTTGGTAGTGTCCACTTGACGCAAACTAAATCAGAGGTCAAAGGAGACCAACAGGAGAAGAAGACAAAAAAAGAAGGATGGAAGGGTTCCCTCAGCTGGATGTTTTTTGTTTCAGACACGGTTCAGAGCAAATCCATTCCAACACACAGGATTTACATGGATTTAGTGGTGCAATGGCACAGCCTCTGTACAGGCATAAAAACTCTTCTAGAATTTAAAATCAAAGTCAAAAGAGAAAACTTAGTTAACTTAGGAAAGACTAGCAAAGTTAAATTCTGAGCTGTATATTTGTACAAACTCCATATCAACTTTGAGGTTACATCTTTATAGCCATTTTACACCTATATGAACAATTATTGTTACACCTTTAAGTCCTATTTGGGACCTGCTACATGTACAACAGACACTTCAGTCCTCCAGACGATGGAGAAGACAACATAAGGTATGTGGATAAAGCAAAAAAGTTAAATTTGCCAATACTCGTCATCAAGGAATAAGATAAAAGCTACTTCATAACACCATCATTGGCATCCCTGGTAAAGATTGTCAAAAAGTCTTAAAACAAAGTCTTCTTTTGTTTCCATAACATAATCCCACATGTCCCTAAAACACTTAAAACTCAAAAGATGAGCTTTGCAGTTTTTTAAACACCCCACACCATCTTTCTTACCATATGTGGTGGCAACAAAGACATGGGTGTTTGTCCAAAAGTGTTTCTCATAGTTCTTGTTTTTTTAAACACTTTTAAGCTGGTAGATTTTTACGTTGATCCCTCATTTGGGGAAGTTTAGGTGCAAAAATGTTTTTGTCAATTAACACAGAATCGGCCTTATTTAAAAGATGCATTCTCTTGCCTTTGCCATTTTGAGGATTTTCTTAAATAGACAAACTTCTAAAATCAACCAATCTCTGTGTCTCTTCCCTAATAAAATAGGGACGATTACTAAATAAAAAAATCATCAACATATCTTATCATAATTCAAAAGAAAAACCTACAGCAGACATTAGAAACAACTTTTTTGTAGGTCTGGTGATCTGTAGAAAAACGCAGCTTTTATTAAAATTCATTTGTTATTGCATAATTTAGTAACATTGGCTATAAAAAATGAGATTATGCTAATACAAAAGATGAACTAATTGTAGGGCTTTCATACATTTTTGCCAGGGATGACAATATATATGGAGGGTATTCTGTTTATGTATAATTGAACTCTATGGAAAAATTAATAAACAAAAGCAAAACAAAATACAACATTCTTCGACTTAACAATTGTTATTGCAATCCATTTTTAATGGGCAGTATTTTACAAATGTTCAAATCCTTATTTTGTATTTTTCAATGATATTCAAACTGGTTTGCCTGTAGTGTGAATGGTCCCAGCATCACACCACTGAATCAGCATGTAAGGACTTGAAGCCACATAATACCATCACCTTACACCAGCTCACACTTGAGTCAAGTGTCTTGGTGTTGTAATGGTCGATGTAGCCAAGTTTTCAAATCACTTCAAAATATCTCAGAAGTGTCTATGAATGACAAAAAAGTCACACAGCAGCCAAAAACATGCCAACTACCATGGAGCAAAGTTAATAAAGCTTTAGCTTTAGTTAGTTTTACTTGCAATTTACAAGTGGAGACAAATGAATGAAATGAAAGAAATATTGATGTGAAGCCTCAAACCTAAAAGAAAAGTTTTCTTTAATGGTATGGATAAAGAGTAGAGGTCTTTTATTGTACTTCCTTCAATTACAAGTTGCTGTTTTGCAAACACATCAAACACACACACATCAAAGTACAAGTCATCCCTTTTGCGACTTTATGCATGTTTTTTTTTTTTTTTTGCATAATTTAACATTTAAGAGACCACAAATGGGATAGTTGAAAAACAACAAAACAGGCACAGCATCCCAGCACCACACCTACCTTGCGTTTGTGCTCTTCCTCCTCTTGCATCTTGGCCTGAAGCTTTCTCACCATCACCTGCCTCTTCCACTCAGGGATGGCTTTCCCCTGCTCGTCATGAGTGGGCACAAGCGCCTCAATGTCGTTGAGGCTTGTCTTCCTTCCTGACTCCGCCACACCAGCTCCGCCATTCCCATTAACCACGGAGTTGGAGGAAAACTGCTCGTAGCTTGTCGAGGCTGACATGGTCCTGGAACCAGTAGGACTCCGGCTGGGACTGGGGCTCGGGCTTGGGGTGATGGGTGGAGAGGTAACAGGTGGGGAGGTAACGGGTGAGGAAGTTACAGGTGGGGAGGTAACAGGTGAGGAGGTTACAGGTGGGGTGGTAACAGGTGGGCTGGATTGTGGAGGGGAGGGTGGTTTGGCAGGTGAGGGAGATGACTGAGTCTCTGGAGGTGTGGTGGTTCCCTTAAGTGAGATAAAGACATGTATTACCTGTCAGAGTTATCCCAACTAATGGCAGAAGCTGTGACTGAACAGTCGGAGCTTGAGTTTCAATCTTATGTATGAATAAAAAAATGGCAGAAGGTTTTGAACCTACATTGTTTCCTGTTGGCCCTGTGTTGGAGAACACAGTGGTGTAGCCTTTACTGTGAGGTGTGGGCTTGAGGCTTTTTCCTGCTTTGATCTCTGCCAGCAGCTCTGAGTTGTCTCCGGTGGGGGACATCATGTTGAAAGATTTTGTGCCTGCAGCCAAAAAGAGAGTCCGATAAAGAGAAGAAGAGGCTCTGGGAGGCCTTTCACTGTTTAAATATTTTATCCAATCAGACAAGTAACAATGCTGAGCCGGCGAGTGTTGAACAATGATGGGAGTTCACTCAGGTCAACACCAATAAGCTGGATATATGTATTTGTTTGCTAAGGTTTGCCTTTATGCTTTATGTGAGGAGATGTGTCTGATTAGGTCACTGTTGCATTAGTAACACCTGGACCAGGCCTGGATTAAAACCTTACTCATTTAAAGAAATGTGAGGCTGAAAGCATTGAAATAGGTACAAAGTTTTAGATAAGTTGTCTATATAGAAAAAACAAGGCTGTTAAAAGAAGCATTTCATTCCTTAAAAACAAACAAACAAACAAAAAAAACAGCAGCATTACACATTATCTGCATCTTTTTGGTGTAATTTCTTGCAAATAAATTAATTCCTCCCTTTCACCTCCTGTATTAAGATGCAGGAAGGCATTTGGACTTTGCAACGAAGCAGAGAAAAATACACTAATGGATCTTTAAAGTCAAGGGATACAAAACTGGCTTAATAAGAATTGTAACAACAAATGGATAAGTGACCAAATAAAATCGTAATTATTTTTAGTTATTACTCCACCAGGTTATACTAACAGCAGCACTGTTTAAAAGGAATAAAGTTATCCATTTTTAGTTTCAGAGTGTTAAAAATAAAACCAGAGGAAATATAAACACATAAAAAGCTCTTTAAAAGGAAGCTCATTTCAACAGAGACATGTTGGTTATTGATACTAAAACACAGAAATTCTGCATGTGTTGTATGTATTGTATTGAACTGGCAAAAGACAGAACAGACCTTGAAACATTAGCAGATAAGGCTCAACGCACTCAAAAGTTGATCTACTTAATACTTTAATTGTTGGAGAGCTTTTGGAAATGTCAAAGATCAGTTATCAGCATTATTTAGAGTTTATGCAATATTGTGCTGTAACTACTAATAGCAACAATATGCTGCAAAAGACTGTTTGAGAGCAGTCTCTCTACTGCAAATAAATAAAAGGACATGCAATAAGACTAGAAATAAATACTGTGATCACTATTTATAATAGTGCTTGAAATAAAATCTGAATCAGATCAAATTTGTATCAAGTTCTACAAAAACCTCATTTCAGAAAACGGCTTCTGATAGCAGACATTAAAAGGAAATATATGTGTGATAACAGCAGTTCACTTAATGAAATAATAAACTTCAAAAATCATCTTTCATTGATGATCATTTAGAATCAGTAAAGCTTTGGGTACTTTTGAAAACAAATTATAGAAAGTCAAAAATTTTAAAATAACCACTTACGTTTTTTCTTCATTAATGTTTAAAGTTTAATAAAATAGAAACAAATTATTATTATTTCTAAATAAACTTATTAGAGCTTGATCTAATTCATCATATTACGTATCCAAAGAGCCTGTAACCGCCTCACCTGCTTTAGAGAACGTCAGCCTTTAGTGTAGCAAATGTCCTCAATTCTTCATTGTTTACTTAGCCTCTATTTGCAGAAGAGATGAAACAAAAGTCCCTCCGTAAAACTGTTCCCTGTAGAGGCGACCACAATGGTCTAGATGGACACAAAGACTGCTTAGCGTGCCACCCCTCCTCACGCTCACCTGCTCTTCCCTTTCTACCGCGGAGGAGGAGAGAACAGCTTTCCATTTGAGGCCCATCATCACATGGGTGGAAATCTAAAGGGTTCACCAGTAACTGGGAGTGACAGCGAGCCACTGGAAAGCTGGCCAGGAATTAACACGCAAACACACGCACACAGAGAAGCTGTCAAATAGTCTGCTTGTCAGTCCCTTCTCTGCCAGACCAATCCTCACAAACCTCACTCATGGTCTGTATTGCATGTGATTACATGTTTTATACTCCGCTTCCTTTCATGTCCTCTATTATCTCAAAAAATATATTCTTCACATATGGACAATACAACAAATTGAGGAAAACTAGAGACACAAAAGCGTTTTTACAGACCAGAAACTGGGGGGGAGAATTAAAATGCCCTTACAGGCCCAATAAAAGGCTGTTGAACTGTAAGCCACTAATACATAAATAAAACTAATGTGGTAGTGGCAGCATCATGCTGTGGGGATGCCATTGTTCAGCAAGGAGAGGGAGCCTGGTACGAAATTGATGGATTTATGGAGGGGGATAAATAAAGGATCATTCTGGAAGAAAATCTATTATGGCCGGCAAAAGTCCAGGAGAGTGGTTGGGGTTAATTTTTTTCCCCAGGATACAAAGAATAAACCCACAGTATTAGCTGCACTGGATTTGGTTTAATGAAAGCATATTTATTAGTTAGAAAGGCCCAATTAAAGTTCAGACTTAAATCCATTTAAGAGTTGCTAGAATCAAAACCTAAGGCCAACAGCGACAAGCTCCAAAAGTCTTCAGATGTGCGTTTAAAAAAAACCCTTCTGAAGAAAAAAAATCTGTATTTTCATCCTGCTACTTTGTGTTGATCAAGTCTAAAAATCTAAACATCTATTTTAGATTTAATATGAAAAATGTTTAAAAAAAACATGTATGTGTGAAGTAAATTTTGGTAGAATGCTGCACCATCTTCTTTTGCCTTTACTTAACATTTTTAACATTTATTCAGTATGACAAAGCACTGCTGCTTTGTCAAACTCATCTTATGAAAAGAAATAAAAAAAAAAATCAGTAACAACAATTTATAATAAAAACATAAAACATACCTTTAGCTTTCCCTGACAAATCCTTATTGCAAAGATCCAGAACAGTGCATGGCAAGATGTTTTTCAAAAGACTGAAAATCACACTAAAGGTAAAGAGGTGTATCTGTTTGAGTTTATGAGCCAGCTGCTGTGCGTCTGCTGACAGCTTATCCTGTATAAAAAGGGGGTGGAGACTCAGCCAGTTTTACGTTCGTGTGAACAAGGCTGAAGGACTGACAGCTGTACAGTACATTGTCCTAATGGACATCTCACCACACAAGGCTGTCTGAACCTTGATATTCCACTAAATATTGCATCCAGTCTTCTGCAATCACAGTTTGAAACAGATTGAACCAGTGAGGAAAAATCAAATTCAATATATGCTGCCTCTCTGTTTAAGACCAATAGCAGGAAGCATATCTGTTCAAGGCTCTATTTTTCTTATGATCTCCATGAGTTTTTTTTTTTGCATGATCAAAGGCTAAATAACAAATCCTATATTTTGTTTGACCACAGTTTTCCCTACAGCGCCGCAGATAAATATGCACAGTGTAAAAAGTGATCCTCTCTTTCCTGAGGTGAAGAATAACAGGGCAAAAACATGACAAACCATCTCGCATGCAATCAAATTCATGATATCATTTAAGAAATACCAACTCCAGATGCACTTTACCTTTACACCAGTCCTAATCATGCTGCTAGCAAAGTTCCACAGATTTATATCAATTCTGATAGATCTTTTATCAATATTTTACTTCTTCTATCAAGAAGTGATGTGTTAAGGGTGCACAAGCTCAGCGAATGGGTAAATGGCCCAGACAAACCATTGCAAGTGAGCCCATATAACGCCTACATTCTAGAGAATTAATTTGCAAGTATTATATCACCATGCACTAGTCAAATTAAACTAAAGGAAGGCTCACTCAAAGATCTAAGCGCAAACCTAACGCACATTTTAAATCCAACATCCTAACCCGATTTGGAGGCCATCTGGGTGACAGCAACTTCGTGCAAACACCCGACAACAAAATAACACCATTCATAGAAAATATGTCTTTCCTTGAGATGATGAAGACTGCGTTTCATCAAGATAGTATCAACATCTGGGTTGGATCCTTGCCCCTTTGGATGCCTACATACAGTCTGCATACAACAGTCTTCTTTCACTTTGGTGAATGATGGAAATGCATCAACAGATCAAGGTTGACTTTTTATAGTTGATGGAGAACATAATCTGCAGGTGACTGTTATTGCTTATATTGAAGATATGTTTGCAAAAAGGACAAAGTGAATTTTGATTTCTCTTTATGAAAGCCAGGTTTAGCAACACAACCGTGTTTGACTAGCCCAAGGCTAGAGCTATGTGCTGCTGTATTTGCTGTAAAAATAACAAAACAGATTGTGGCAGAGATGGATGTGGAATTTGACCACATTTAACACTTTACAGACAGCAAAGTTGTACTATGTTACATATACAACAAATCAAGGAGGTTCTACGTCTTCATGCACAACAGAATTCAACGCATCCATCAAATTATCAAGTCCTCCAAGTCCTGCATATATGGGGTAAGGGTCCATGTCAGCAATTGTTCCGAACAGCAAGACGTGGCTTACAGGGCCAGCTTTCCCGCTAAATAAATCTGGGAACATATTTGACCCTAAAGATGTGCCAAGTTTAATCTAAGCTGCCCCTGGCTTTGAAGTCAGAATTGACCACTGATTTCCCTCCTTCACATCTCAATGAATGCTTTTACAAGTTTAGAGTCTGAAGTCAGCACTAACATGTCCAATTCAGATAGTTTGTTCCTTTATCACATCTTGCGAAAACAAATGCTAGGAATGGTAGATATATCATCAATCTGAAGAAGAGTTGATAAAAGAAAGGTGTGCATAACAAAAAGGGTCCAAAATGAATATGTCTTAGAAGAGATTCTGAGCGCTTTTTCAGTGCGCAGCACTCTGGCTGCAAGTAGCTTGTCGAAATTACCACCCATCATAGGATCTGACGGCCTGTCAAGAGTAGTATATACAGGCTTATCCAGGTGTGGATGAGACTCATTCCATTACTATTCCTGATCCAAACCATTTGGCAGTCCTGTTGGTTCGCCGGTACCATGACGCTGTAAAGGGAGGCATTCTGCAGTTTCCATTAGTGCTATTGAATTTTACCTGGCTAGAGAAAAATGCTGCACAAGCAGCCTGTTCCATAAATATGAGCTCATACTTCCTATCATATATTCCGGTCTTGTCCAATACTTATTAGTAATCTCTCATGCTTATGCTTATGACATCTCACCTTCTCCACTGGTTGCTGCTTTTGGTTTGTTTTCTAATCCATCAGTACCTGTCCCCCTCCAGCACACTTACAGAGGGTCATTGCCTTTTCTTCTTTAATAGCTAGATGCTTGATTTTACTGAAATAAAAGGCAGCTACTCCTCCATCTCATCATCACTGGATAAGAGACATTATGTTAAACCTTAAACTGGAAAATATTAGATGCACCCTCAATGGCTCGATCAAAAGATTCCAAAAAAACCTGGGACTCTCTAATAACATATGTGAACAGTTTACCGGGTCTGGAACTGGAACTCTGAATCATGACATCTGCCCTTCAACAAACTCTGTAATAGCAAGTGGTTATTTGTTTTTGAGGTTGTTTGTTTTTTTTGTTCTTTTTTATGGGTGTGATCTATCTTTGTTTGTTGTTGGTACTGTCTGTTCTAATTGATCTGTAATACAGAAAAATTATTGTTTCATATGTTAAGGGAAATCACAAATAAAGTGTTCGCAAAAAAAACCCCCAAAAAACTTACAGGAAACTACGTAGGAGGATAGAACAGAAAAAGGAAGATCTACCAGCAGAACGATTGTAGCTACTACCAACTATGTTATTGTTGATGCCTTGTTGATGGAAAATGCTCTCATATCACACCAGGGAAAATATTCAATCTCTAAACATTGGGCTGTAATGTTTTCCTCTGTGTGTTCAAGAACAGTGCATTAAGAAGAGCTTTAAATATCAACTTTATCACTGCATTAACAAGATATCTTTTGATGGAGAAAGTTGTGTCAAAAAAAAAAACAATGATTTCTGATTGCGAAAGATAGTTTTTATTGTGTCTTGAGAGCTTTGAATGGACGTTCCCAATCTTAACATCAATATGGCAGATATGTACCTAAGCAAACAAAACTGCACTTGGATCTTTATTTCCTCTCATGCATCTAACCTGGTTAGTGCGTGGCAGTACATGACTGGATTGGCTCATCATATTCTGGATTCATGAGTGCCAGAACACTCCGTACAATATATCTCTAGAGAGCAGAATCAACAGGTTTTAAACCCATCCACCTCCAGGCAACTTTAATAAGGCAGACCTCTTCAGGGAGGAGAGAACACAAAGCAATGATTGGTAATAATAGTCTCCAACATCGAAACAAATTATTTCTTAATATGGAAATTTCATCCAGAATTTTATAAATTTACCTAAATTAAGATACTTCTAAATAGTCTGTGTTGAATAAAAACAAACAAAATAAATGTAGTGTATTAAAGTATTTCACCCTTATTCATGAGGTATAAACAAAGGTAGAGGGCAATAATTGTAATATACATAAAAAAAAATGCACATACTACATTATTAAATTATTACTTGAGAAAATGAAAACACTGATGATCACTTCCCTCATATGTTTAGTTCTATGGTATCTTTTATCCACATCTTTCTATCATATCTTTGTTATCATGTTTTTTGTCCATCTGTCTGTTTTTTACATGGTTTTCAAGTTCAACCTTTCCCTTTCATTTTGACCAAGGGCAGGACTTCTGGGGTAGTGTCCTTTAAACCGATCGGTGAATTAAACAATTCGGACATCTGAGCAAAACACATATTTGCTACCAGATAAAACACTCAATAAATAATCTCATAAAAACTGTTAGGCAGGTAGGTGGAAAAGGCATCGATTTCCCAGCTCAACATCATATCCACCATGAATGTGATTCACTGAAGGTAAAGTCATAAAATCCCAGAATTTCACATCATTGAGTTGTTTTGAGGTAACTTAAAACTGGCTTAACATACTAGAAATCCTCCCATATATCTTACAGCTGAAAAATCAGACAGATTTCAATGACTGGAAACATCTTACTGAAGTTATTTTGACTAGATATGGTAACAATAGCTTTGTTAGGTAGGGTGTTCTAACTGCTCCCTAGCCCACAAACCACATGTCTGTGGAAAAAACACAGATAAGACCCATTTTTATGAAAAAGTTATTTGTTTTTCATGTGACCATGTATAAGAGACTGAAACTCAAATTTAAAATCTTAACTCTAAGTGTAGAGGTCTATGTAGATCCTGCCATCTAGCTTCTCTAGGTCTAAAGTATCAGTCTGTACTTACTCTTCATCTGTCTAAGCAGCCCTCCATCTGAGTGGGAAGTAGAGTTATTACCACCTTCAGATCAGCCAGGAGAAACCACATCAGACAAGGTGACAGGAGAAGAAAAGAAAGACATGCAGAGGAAACAAGTGAATGTGGAAAGACATGATAAAAGACAAACAGATAAAAAGTTTAGGAGTAAGGATGCACCAAGAATTGAAAACTGTTACTGAAAAGTGAATTTTCATTTTTTGGCCGATAGACATTTAAAATTATGATGCTACAAACAGCAAATCCAGCATGGGGGGAAAAGGATCACAAGCAAGCAGCACATCCAGCTAGCAGAAATGCTGTTGACACCCTGAGGAAAAGGACTGTAGCAAAAGAGCACAGGTAGGAAAGCAGAGTTTGTCAGAGTTAAGCTTGCGGCAGACAGGTATTATGTGCGGGGTGCGAGTTTAAATGCTGCACATAAGTCTCAATGTGCGCTCAATGTCAATATAAAAGTGACAGTTAGTGCCATATCAGTCAGTGGCAAAAAATGCCATAGAAATCCAAACATCCACATCACCATTCTGAATATGAGAAGAATGCGACACAGAAAGGAAACTGACACTAAACAGGCTCGGTTCGTCTGTAGTGGACGTGTTTGAAAAGGCGAGAAAGTTTCACAGTGATTCTGCTAAGGTAAAGGGCAGAACAACGTAGCCACTAGACCATCAAATGTCAGTGGTAAATAAATATTTTGACACTTTTGTAATTGATTTATAGAAATAAACTGAGTTTTTAAAAAATATATATTTTTTTAATAGGGTTAGTATAAATTGTGGCCAAAAATGTAATAGTTCTAATATGCGTTTTTGGTTTTCGGCCTTGCTTTCCAAATTTTTTGTTTTCAGTTTCGGCCTAGAATTTTCATTTTGGAGAGTCCCTATTTAAGAGGTAAACACACAGTGTTAAAGTCAGAGGTAAACTGACTTTCGGTCAGTGCTTTTTAAAAAAGTTTGAGAAACAATCCAGCAACTTCTAATTCCTTCATTTAATATTACCTACAAGAAGAGGGGCTTATTTTTTGTGAGTTACAGTAGTAGCCATTCAAAATTTTTCCACTTTCCTTGATGGGCCCTAGGCTGGTCCCAATAATTCCTTTTTAAACATCAAACTTTGTACTGAAATATTCTTCCTATCATGATTTGTGGACATTAAGATCTAAAGAGAAGCAGCTCCTGGTCAGACCCTGTAATTCAGTGAAAGGCTGGAGTCAGAGTAAAAAAATACGCCCGCCCAGGAGAAGGCCAGTGGCTGGAAGTTGGAGGGTTTTTTGCTGGGAGCTGCAGGGAAGTGGACTGCCATTCAGCTGGCGTTTCACTGGGAAGAGCCAGTTTGAATTGCTGCTACTGTAGAGGGATGTAGGTCAGAGGGCCACTTAAGGAAATAACTGAACACTAAACCAGATCTCGGAGTAACAGGATCCCTGCATCATTAATTAATAATCCGTTATTTAGAAGGCTGGCACTGAACGCCCCTCATCTTCACGATGGGGTGATAAACTGGTGGCTCTTTCTGCCACACACTGCTTTCTAGGAACAACCATGTAAACATATGCAAGCAAGAAAATTTTGTATTTCATAGTAATGTAAGCGGGGTGTGTGTTGCACTTTAGGAAGAAAACAACAAAATGGATTGAATTGGATGCACTCACTTCCTGATGAGGAAGACGGGCGCCTCTTGTCATTGGAGCTGGGGGTGGTGTTGCCATTATTCTGGGTGGCTTGTGTCCCAGTGGGTAGTGGAGGAGGGGGAGGGGGTGTTGGCATTGGATTGCTGGGAGGAAGAGGAGGTGGTGGAGGTGGTTGTGGAGGGGGCACAGATTCCTCTGTGGTGCCATTTTCAGAGGCTGGGTTTGGATTTTCATTTGACTCCTCCAATAACACAGAACCCTAAACGGAAAAGAAGGGAAAGGTTGAGGATGTCCATGACATCATACATCTCTAACGAAAGCCATTGCTTTATAAAGTTTATTCACTATGGTACAGCTGGCCTGACATTGGTAGGTGATAACATGAAAAAACAGTATTTTATAGCATAGCCACAGAGTTTGACTTATTTTAAAATGGTTTTATAAAACAAAACAATGCAAACTAGTGGATAATGTGTATTTGAAGGAAAAGGGGAGACATTTTAAAAATGTTTTAGGGGGAAGTAAAAAAGGTGAGCTGTATATTTGTTTTAATGTTTTAAATGATAGATGCACTAAAGGATTAAACCAGGGATGTCGTCTCATATCAATAATCGTCAGTTCTGTCAGCGGTGTTCCTTCACTTTAAGGATTCTGTTAGTTTACTACTAGTAGTTTGTAACCACACTGCAAAAACCATCTAAAATTGAGAAAAAATGCCTTAAATTAAGTGTATTTACCATTAATTTGAGTAAGTAAATAGGATAATTTGCCAATGGAATGAGTATTTTTAGTCTTAAAATAAGATAATTAGATAATATGCACTTGAAATAAGACAATGCAATTGTGTTTTTTTATTTTGAATGTAAATTGTCTTGTTCCATTGGCAAAGTGTCTCAATTACCTCCTCAATTCAAGAAAAACTTAACTTATTGCAAGAAAAAATTACTTATGTAGATTTCAATTTTTTTGCAGTGCAACCTTTGAGGCAGTCACAGAGCAGCTGCTTTTATACTAATATCAGATGGCCTGTAATTAAACAGTGTTTTTTAATTCTGGGGATTCAGTCATTCACACACTAATATTATGGAATATATTGGTGAACTCTTCGTACTATGTGTCTTCTGAAGCCAATCAGTTGCAATTCATTTGTTTAATGGTGTCAGAGTAAAGGGGGCTTAATTAAAAGTTGGATTTATGAGATATCTATTTGTAGAAAAATGTGAAACCCTTTTATCCTTTTCCCTCAAGTTCACAATCATTCAGTTTTTAAGCTTATAAAGTAAACATTATCAAGTCTCCGGTTCAGAATTCAGGAATTTAAATTCAGTTGGTACAAATATTTTAATAAAGCATCACGTTTTTTTCTCATTCAAGACAATATCATAAAAAAGAAAAAAATCTCTTATCATATGTTGTTTCTTAAAAACCTCCAAAAAACTCCAGATTCTAAACTTGCAGTATGAAAATCCTGCACCCTGTGAAGATTTGTTAAAGCGTTGGATTCTTGCCCAGGCTGCCGATAGGGAAGCATGTACTCCTACTTGTTTCCTGATATCTCTAATCACCTCATAAAGACACAATACCCATACAGTTCTAAGTAAGCTAATATGAACTAATCCCAAAGGGAAGGACATCTGAGCGGAAAACGGTACTAACTGACCATCTGTCACTGCAAGTGATAGTCCTGCATGCGTCCGGCACACTCCAAAATCGTGCCGTGACTCAGCTGGAGGGGAATTAATGCATCACGGCATTTAACTGAACCCCACCCCTCAGACGCGTGCACATCATTGTTGCCCCCATCACTTTCTAAACACCCCTGGGGAGTTGGGAGGGGGGGGGCAACATCCAGATGGGCCAATGCGGCACGTGCCGTTTTCGGTGATTAGCACTTCCATCTGCTGGGGTCCTCAGAGACAAGGAGGGGCCCCTCAGGGGCTCTAATTGGCTCAATGTGGATTATACCATGTGTCACCCCAAACAGCCACCACTACTGATACTCGTGGGAGTTTAAAACCCCTCTAGGGATTACGATCATTGACTCCTGACAGACTTTATTTATTCATTCTCTTATTTCTAGGTGGTTTGAATTGCCATTAAATAAATTTTGACTTACAGTTACATTTATTTAAATCTGTGGGGCTTTTTTTATCTGTTATTTAGGACTTTTTTCTTTTAATGTCGTTCTATGAGATATTGTGTTTAAAAAAGGAAATGTTTTAATTAGACATTTTAAAGATTTAAATACAGCTTTCAAATGTGTGCTTGGACTTTTACAACTATCTATTTTGTACTTTTAATTTTTTGTAATTATTTGTATTACCTAACAGTGTTTTCATATTTTTTATAATGAATATATTCTTTTAAGATTTCCCAATACATCCTTTCTAATAAACAAAAGCTACATCTATTATATCCCAGCACTGAAATCAACTTGTTAGCATAGATAAATGTATAAGGAAGGCTTTTTTGTGATTTATAGGAAGCAACTGGTTAGGCGCTGCAGTACAAGTGCTGGAGTTTATTACATAATGCCTGTATGGAGAAGGGAACAGTGGAAATGATGCGTTGGGGAAAGTTTGCATAAAATGGAAAAACAAAAGGTTAAGACAGTAAAAGATTATGCAACACACTGACTGGTAACAATCGGGCAAATACTGTCAACAGTATAGGAACGGGGTTCTAATCCACTTCTCTCCCAGCTAAACAACACCCAAAGCTCCTGACCTCACTAGGACATCCACACCCCAGTGACAGAAGACATAAGAAGACTAATATACTAAATAGGTCTATTTTTAATTTTAATGCGTTGAAAAAAAGTGAAACCTCTATGGAAGCCAAATAAATAGTTAAATCTGTTTGCTTTGAGATCATCCCAAAATATAGAACCATTTAGATAATGTTCTCCACTTGCCTCCTCATTGGGCGCCATGCCTTTGCTTCCACAGGGCCCCGCTGTGTCGTTGCCCAAACTTTTGTAATACTCCCCAGTGCTGGGCTGTTTGTTGAAGCTCCTCGACTTCCGGTTTGAATCCACTCGCCGCAGTTTGTCGTGGCTCTCTTCTGGGGTTAGCTGCACAGATTTAAAAAAAATAAATACATTTTTTAGATGTGTGCATGAAAAAGGAGTAGGTGTTTAGAGTGTGGGTGTGTAGGTGGCAGGAAAAAAGTTCAACACAAACAGAGCAAAATTTGCTTTCTTTTTATTACCAGATTGGCTCTCTCCTGTGGCCGAAGCAGCTTTATTTGAATAACAGAACAAGGATCGTATATAGCCCATGTAAAGCCCTGCTATCAATGTTTCAACAACAAAAGCTTGTTGGACCACATCCAGATTGTATACTTCGCTGAATGGAAGAGACCGCGCAGATCATTAACCTCGTCCTCTACAACAGAGCACTGTCCCTTTTTATATTGACACTATACAGAAAGTTTCAGTTCTAAAGAAATAATGTCCAAATATTTTCAACCAAAGTCTTCAGCTTATGAGAGACACCAGTCAGACTTCACATTAATATAAAAAAAAACATTAGCAGAAAAATGTTCCTTTTAAAAAGCCAGTTTGAAAATGCACTATTCTGTGTTGCTCTATGGATCCTTTCCCTCATGCAAAAGGCCTTGAAATTTGCATGTAAATGCATCATAATATACTTATACAGCCAAACTTCACAAATCCCTCACTTCCCAACGGTGTTTAGCAGAAGCTATGTTCCAAAGAAAATAGAGAAGAAAAATGTAATTTCTTTTATATATCTTGAAAGTATATCTTGAAGATGAAGGTCAAACTTAAATGTAAGCTTTTAAAGCAAAAAAGCTGCTTTGCCTTTCAAATTCAAGACTCAGGAACATATTTGTATCTATTTACATCTAAATGCAAGAACACAAACTGACTTTTTTTTCTTTTTTTTGGCTGAACCCAAAGCAGTTCCATAAATGTTTGAATGTCTGCCATTGCTGTAAGCAGAAAAAACTGACAGCTGACCCCTGACCTCCTCCTGTGTTCTGACTTCCTACAAGCTTTCTTAATTGTGTTGACTCCTGTCTGCTGTCAAAGAGATGGTCCCTGAGCACTCATCAGCAGGGAGGGTAACAGGAGAGCTGCAGATGGATTATCATTCCCTAGGGAGGTGGGTCAATAATAGCAAATATACATAACGTTTTGCAAACCCCCACACATCTCTCTCACTTGTCTGTGCATAAAGCAACATTATATATGGTTTTTCTTCACCTGCATCCTAAAGATTTCTACATTTTCTCAGCAGGCAGGACAATGTTAGGTTTGTTTGCAATAGTTGATCCCATTTGCAGCACAGGTAAGCAATTCAATGTAAAAATGAGGACTGCTTCAAATCTATAAGCATATTCTATGAAAAGCTTTCAAGGCAGAAAAGAAAAAAAAAAGAAAAAAAAAATCACAGATTTATGGTTGAAATGTAAAACAGCCAAAGTATGCAAACGTGTGAGACATATCTCTGCAGAAGCAAAAAAAAAAAAAAAAAACTTTCATCAAATTAAATGTCCTCTCTAAAAGGAAGTCTACATTACCTTAATATGAAAAGTCCCTTTTTAAAGCAGCTTTCTGGTCTGGAATCAAGCCGCATCAACAAAACTTAGCGGAGCCAACAGAGACCAGCTGTCACCAGATCCAGCACCTCGTCTTCTCTTAGCTCACTGCACACACCTGTCACTCTACCTGCACCTCTCACTTTACCAACAGGCCTCATCAATAACCTATTGGGCCAGCTCAGCAGCGGCAATGATGTCACCACCATCCCGTTGACTGACCACACCCCGGCCCTGCCCAGTTCCGCTTATGCAAAGCACAAAAACCCATGTGTTCCTTGGACCATCGCCTTGGCCACAGGCAAATCCTCAGAGGCTTTGGGATTATCAGAGTATCCAAGCCCTTTGTGCAGATGTGAAACTTTTCAAGAATTGTACTTAAGAGGGAGGATAAATCAAAATCTAAATTTTCTGATGGTTTAGAGTCCAAAGAATTAAACTCAGATATGTGCAGTGGTTGTGGTTCAGGTTTGTGTGGTATGCATGCAGTGCAATAAACATTTAATTTGAGACAATGCAGACAAACGACTCAAGCAAAGCAACAAAATCAACCTGTTGCTGACTGTAGCTTTAACAGGATAACATGCAGGATAGCTTTTCACCGTTTGGTACACAGAGATCCCATTTGTGTGTCTTTTTTTGCACATGCATGGGCATGTGATCTGAGAGCCAGACCTTATTTAAATTATTAACAAGAGGTGTGCCCTAAGCTGATCATTGGGGCACGGAGAGGAGAGGGGGCAGAGCTAATGTTTCATTAAAACATCTCCCCCGCAGAGTGCATCGTTTCACACAGAAACACCCATATGCACACAAAGAGCTCACTATGGAGACAGAGTATGGGAAAGGCTCACTGACACATGATTTTAGAACTGCTGTGTAACTACTTTGCATACTAGATCCATACACCTCCCACTGTCTGAGCACTTTTTTTTTCTAAAAACAGTCTGTAACCTTAATTCTCCCTGCTGTGTGAAAAAAAATATAGCAGTAAACCTCAGATGGGCTTTGTTGGTTGATTGAAATCTTGGTATTATTTCTAATGATCTAGTCAGTCTGTATTTGAATCAAGATTAAAGGAATGGTTTAACATCTGTTGCTTCAATTGTTGAAATATGACAAAAAATAAAATAAAGTTCCTTGCATAACTATTAAAAAAAGCTCACGCTTTTTCTAGATTTTGTCATGTAACACAAATAGTTTGTGTGATTTAGCAATGCCGTGTCGGGATGCATTTGTGAAGGGGTAGGCAAAAAGTAAATGGTTTTGAAATATATTTTTTGGTACAATTTTTAAAAAACATAGAAATTCAAATTCAATCCCCTTCTTTCCAACAGGACCATAGAAAAATCAAAATCAGAAGCCACAAAAAATTGCCAAATAGCTTCCTGTCTGAAATTCAATCCCATTATAAATCCAGCTTTACTGTAAAGGACTCAGAGTTTTCTTAGAGAGCATTTGAGAATAAGAAGCATTGAAACTACAACCAAAATACCTGGACCTAAATAAGATGGTTTAGATTGGTGGTGTCCAATTAGTTCTCAAATACTCATGTCCTGTAAGTTTTAGATATTTATCATTCATGCAGAGACCCGATGGGGGCTGGAGTTTGGCACCCCTGAATAAGAGCAAAGCATATATTTGCATGTGTTAGAATGACCCGCTTAGAGTACTGAAAAACTGATGTTAACAGACACTCTCCATCCATCCAGTCTGACGGAACTGAGATGTAAATAAAAAAAGGAGTTACCAGATGTGCGACAGCTCTTAGAGACATACCCCTTGAAGCATCTGTAGTTGTAACAAAAAGGTATTTCTTTTTGGAGTCGAATGATGAATGCCAATGCATGCTAGATTTCTAATTGTTAAAAAAATAAATGAAACAATGATTCTCCCTCCAATTCTCAAAAATGCACTTCTTAGTGTTCTAATCAAACTTTTAAACAACATATGTACATACACTTCAAATCAAAAATTAACTGAAAAGCACCTTGTGTAACACACCCACACCTGATGACAAGGTAAAAATCAGGAAAACATTTTTTCCGGACATGACAGTCAGATCCCTCATTGTTGCAATGCTTAGTCAAATCCTTAACACCTCTGTTAGAAACTCATCCATTTCTATAATACTAATCCAGCAGAAGCAGAACAGATCTCAATACTATTACCAAATGCTGCTGCTATCCCTCAAAGGGCCTTAGAGTGATATCTGGTCCAATTTATTGATGTAATTAAGATCAGTCCCATCACATTAGTCTTCAGATCAGAGGCCTGGCATGCTAACAAGCATCTTCTGTGGCCTTGTTAGCTTCCATTAAACAACAACATCATTGTTGCCTCACCAATGATGGCACACTATTACAGAAGAGCTGCTGTCCACCTCATTAGACCTACTGGGGGAAAAAAACAGCTAATTGCCAATTAAAGACAAACAGATGGATGTCCCTGCTTTTCTATGTCTGCTTATGATCCAAAATGAGAACATATTTGCTGAGAAATGAGATGTATACTTTTATATTTAGAATCCTTACTGGTAAATATGAACCAGGAGCTTACCACCACAGGCAGGATCATACCTCCTTTTTGCTGCTTTTATTGTCCACATGCCGCAAGTTGCTTTTCACCTTGAGGAACTCGGCTGATAGCGGCTCTTGAGGAGGCTGGGGCGCTGGATAGCTAGGGGCAGGTGGGGGCCCTGGGGGAGCTTGAGGAGGAGGTGGTGGAGGATATGTTGGAGGTGGTGGAGGCTTGGATACAGCAACGGCCATTGTCTCATCCGTATTAGCAGCGATGTCTGGGTTCAGCATATCCATGTAGGCCTGCATGTCTGAAATAGCTGATTCTGGTGCACCTGTGTTGCAAATAATGAATACAGAGATGACAGTCTAGGAACACAAACAATACTTATACACTACTGTTTTTCATTTCACACAACAAATCTGGTTTGCTAGAAAAAAAAACCCAGATAAAATATGAATGAGAAACATGACAGTGGAATTAGTAAAAAACAAAGACTATCTGTGGACAAACCACTAGGGTGCAGCACCAGTATGTAGAGCACCTGAGACAGCCCCAAGGTAACAAAATTAACTGGGTGCTTAAGTATATTTAAGGCAATAATGAAACAGTGATATTATAAAATAAAAAAAAAGGTACAAATGCCAAGTTAAAATCAAGAGACCTTGATGTGCCACTGTATTTAGCTGGGTAGGAGGGCCTCGAGATGTTGTAAGGCTGCTTCTCTTCTCCCCGGTGCTGGACTGGCTGGAGTTGGCAGAGTCATAGTTGGACAGAGAGCTGGATGGTGAACCGATGTCGAAGTGTACTGCCTGGTTGGCTGGAGGCATGGTGGTGTTTGGAGATGAGAGGCCCGAATCTGGCTGCTTAGACTCAAGCTCAGTTGAGGGGTCTCGAGACAAAACGCGATGCTCCACACTCTGTCCAAGGGTTATGAAAGAAAGCATCACTGAAAAGTGCCTGGCAGAACTATTCATAGCCCTTAGGACTCCTTCACATTTTTTCCAACCCAAAAATAAAAGGAATTTTTTCACAAAGTAGATGTGAGTGGGAAGAAAAATACACATATGAAGTATTATGTCCCGTATACTGTAGCTCAAACAGACTGACTGACATTAAGCTACATCCATCTAAGCATAAACTCTAAACACATTTTCTGTCTCCACTCACAAAATCTATGGAACCAAATCAAGTCAGTCTTCTTTTAATTAGCCACTAACTTTAGTTAAATCATATATTAATAAGTCAGAACAAATCTCAGTATTAATTATCTATATGTTCAGAGAACAGGTCATAAACTCTCTCACCTCTCAGTCCCTCATGAATTAAGTGAGGATAAAATGAAGCTAAGTTTAATTACAGCACATTAATGAAACTTCTCACAGCTGATCAGAACAGCTCTGGGGCTTTTGTCTGCTCCCAAAGGGCTCATGTGGCTTCGTGTCCCTCATGACAAAGAACATAAAGCAAAGAAGGAACAGTGTGTCTCCCCAGCACTGCCGTGGCTTTAATTGCTCTGCACACTCTGGGACTTTAATTTGCTACTTATATAGGATGCTGTAAGTCAAGCTTTAGTAATTTGATGAAAAATTTGAAATAACGTGAGTTCAAAGAGAACAGAGAGCGAGCTGTCTATGCATATGCGGAAGCATCTGGTTAGTATGTTTATTGTGCTGTCAGACATTTCAGCCAGTCAGATCAATGAATTCGATATTTTACTGCTATTCAACCTAAAATGTTATTTTATAAAAAAAAAAAAAAAAAAAAACTATTTATGCTTCACTTGAAAAATGCCTAAATAAATCTTTTTTGGAAAATCTCCTGATTCAATGACAATCCAGAAAGGAAAAGATAAAAAAACCCAACAACTATTCACATCATCTCTACAGAACACATGCAATTGAATTAATAATAGTAGTAAAGTATGAAAATGCAAGGATTGATTGAGCTAAAGCTCTACATTGTTGCAATGAGCCTCACATGTAACCCACAGCATTATGTAAGGGGTGCGTCTAAGTGAACATGTACTGAGTCATTGATTGTGTAATAGTCCCTTAATAAAGGTCCAGTTTTAGTGCAGAAATAATGAGGATTTGTAAAGAATTACGGTTAGTAATCTGTGAGAAAGAAAGTAAACAGCTCAACTTTTAATTTTTTTTATTTATAAAGGAAATATCTTCTAATTTAGTAAACCCAAGGCCTTATTGATTATGACTTACAGCAATCAGTTAATTTTCTTTGTCTACATATAAAAAAAAATGATTTGTTAAAAATCACTCAGTAGGACTTTGAAATGTCCGAAACAACAGGGAGGTCCAACTAATTACAAAAACTACAAAATTTTGAAGATATTCACAAGTTTGGAAAAACTAATTGGAGCCATTTCTAAACAAGCACAGATTTTTCTTAGAGAGCAAGACAGAAAAAAATATATTTTTTTAATGTAGTTGTCTCCAAGGACTGAGAGGCCACCGACAAAGAAATAAACCTCTGCCACAAAATTAACATCTTAAAGTTTGAATGGAATTTGAGGCTTATACACCTGGATGAGCTAAATGTTTTGCACAAAAGACAAAAAGTATTCTGGAGCCTTTAAAACTTTAAGAACAATGTGCAGCTGTTTTATTCCATCATCATTCTGTTGACTGTTTTAATGGACAGTGGATGGAATAAAGATGCTGTAGGATTTTCAGCAAACTTATTAACCTTATATCCAACAAGCAACAAGGAAGAAAACCTTGGAAAAAATCTGATATTCTGTCAAGTCACCAAGACTGGTTTTGGAATCCACAAACTGGGTCAACATTAAGCTACCTTCCCTCAAGCTCCAAATGTTTGATACAGCTTCTTGAAGGATGAGTATTTACAGAAAAGCACGGTAATATTTGAGCCTGTAATTATAACTTGGACCCTTTCTGAATTAGAGATAATTCCAAATATGTATTTTAGACCCAGTTTGTGATTTTAATTTGTTGCATGATTCAATCTGAGAAAAGAAAATGACATAAAAGAAAAAAATATAAAACTAAAAAGGCCAAGATTGTGCCAACAATATTGCATGTAATTTTTCTTTGTACCAAAACCTTCATATTACTGAGTATATGGTTTGTAGCCTGAAAATACCCTAGCTCAGAGAAACAGTGTTGCATAAGCTTATAGGTTCAACACTAAAAAATGTTACAATCTAGCTATACTTGCCATCATTGCTTATAGTAGCAGTAATTTCTACTTTAGTTGAACTATTTAAACATTAAATATCTAAAAAAAAAAAAAAAAAAAAAGGAACTGCAATTCCAAACTACAAACTAAACCTGACAAAGAGGACTGACTCAGAAATTACATCACAGCTCGACTCTGTTTGCCAGTGGATCAGAGTTCAGCAGTGATGGCGGTTTAGCCACGGTTCTTACCATGTTTTCCACTGTGCGCAGATACTTGGCACACTGGGAGTGGCCATTGTATTCTGCAAGGTCCGCAGCTGTGAAGCCATCCTGGTCCCGTATGCCCAAGTCCACCCCATTAACCACAAGAATCTGACAGCACTGCAGAGAGGAAAGAGGACAAGTCTTTTACAGATGATTATAGAAACAAAATAGAGCTTTAGTGCCTCAGTCAGTCTGGATTAGTGATGACAAGCTAATCTACATACTAATTACTTTTCAGGTAATTACGTAGATTAGATTTGCACAAACATTGGGGAACCTTGGAGAAGCCTTCGACATACATTGTACTGAAATGATTAAATTCTTATCTGGTAGAACATTCTCTTTTAAGATAAGTACCTTATCACTGTCCGGTGCTCCTCTTTTGTGTGGAGTTCCACAAGGCTACATTCTTGGTCCCATTTACTTTTCATTCTATAAGCTGCTATTTTGGATAAATTACATATGGCCTTCCACTGTCATGCAGACAACCTACAACTTTACTTCTGTTTTAAACCAGGTTGCAGCTCAATTCTCTCTCATGAATAACTGTTGTTAAATAATGGCTAAATTAAAAACATTGTAAGTTTAAATAACAAGAACAACCAAATGTATTTTATTATTTTGTGAAAATGTCACCAAAGATGTTAGTTTTCAGCTCATAAATTAGAAAAAACTGTTAGATGAATTGAAATGTGATTGGGGGTTGAATAAACAAATCAACTCTGCAGTCGAATAAAATTTTCATCATGTGTGTCTTCTAAAAAAGTTCAATCTTTTTTGTATTGGGCGGACTTAGAGAAGGCGGTTGATGCTTTTATTACCTCTAAACTTGATTAATGCATTGACTCATTATTGTTGTCTCCCAATTTTCCCTTTAACATCTTCAACTTGTCCAGAAAGTAGCTGCTTGTCTAACATCCAACACCTTATGAGCACATCACACCAGTCTTAACCTTTTTAAGCCAACTTCCTGTCCCTTTGTAGATTTGAACCTGGTTCCATCATATTTAGCAGAGCTTTCGTGTCCAAAGCTCATCCTCGTTTACTTAATATGCCAAGGACCAGGTCTGGTAATGGAGTCACGGGGCATTTTTTAGGGGCAGAACCCTGACTATGTCTGACAAACTTACGATAGACCTTCACTCCATCACGCACCAAGCAGCATGGTGGCAGTTTATCTAAGATTCTTATTCTCTGCTCTAATGGCTGAATGTTTGGCTTTTTTAAATTAAATGTTCTGCTCATGGTTATGATGTTACTGTGATTATGGGGATTTTTGGCTAAATTGGTTGTTTTAAATCACCCGATAAATCTGTGAGTTACCTGAATTAAAAATGTACCGAGACATAACAGTTTTTTCCCCATTTTAAATGTAACAATTACTAATGGTAGAATCATTAGTCCAAATCCTTTGGAAGGTATTAACTAGAGCATGTAACACAAAAAAGACAAGATAACGTCTGTTCTCTTGCAAAACTCTTTCAGCTACTCTAACAACGAAATGCACTTAACAATAATTATTTAAAATACATTTTTCTGAACATGAAATTACAAAATAAAATATCGACTAAATAGAGACTTGCTGCAATAATATTTCTTATAGGAGCACATGAACATCAATTAAAGGAGAAGGCTGCAGAGTTTATATCACTAGCGTTTTGCTGGAATGTATGCGATTAAACAAAAGCAAATAATAAATAAATCCAAAAAGTGGGGTGTCCATGTCTTTGGCTAGTGCATATAATATTAATGAAGTTTTTAATTTTTCTTTGAGCTTGATCAGACTTTGTCACAGCATTTCTATTAGTCAAAACAGCAGGTTAGTACTGAGGTGAAAACCACATGCTAGTGGAAATCTATTCAAAACAAGTGGTCTATTAAACTCCACCTGGTTGAATTAGCATAGAGAATAGAAACAAAATTCTCTTTTCTTAAAATTGTTTCCTTTAGTATTTTATTTATTTTAATCTTGTCATTTTTTTAAGCGTTTTTTTTTTTTTTTCGTGAGCAACATTATTGTTCAAATGGCAAAGCCTTAAGTTTTTAAAAGAAACTCCAACCATTCATTGCCCGCACCTCCAGTTCACCATTCTCTGCAGCATCATGAAGGGGGGTCCCTCCCCAGTTGTCAGTGACGATCTCTCCCCCGTGCAGCAGCAGCCAGCTGAGCACCTTTGCATGACCCCGGCTGGCTGCAAAGTGCATGGCTGTGGCACCATCACCATCCCTGTCTGTCAGGCTGATTTCTGTAAAACTCATCTACAGGGTTACATTTGAAAAATATAACTCACTAGTATTCAGTGATTTCATGACTCTTTGGGTAAATGAGAAAATGTGGCCAATATAAAAACAAAAGGAAAATTAAATTTTGCAAATGTTGTTAATAGCTTGTAAGGATCAAATCTGTATTTTTCAACACACCAGCCAGACGATAACAGTGTTGTGGCCCATCTGAGCAGCAGCATGCAGAGATGTCATCCCATCATTGGCTCTGATGCTCGGATCTGCCCCGCAGTCCTTAACCAGGTATTGGATAACCTCCAGATGACCCTCCTGGCAGGCCAGGTAGAGTGGCGTGGCACCATTCTTAGTTTGGGAGTTGACAACACTGCAGGTAAATAAAACCACAAGGCTTGACAATCATGCATACATTAAAGATAAACCTGATTAGTGCTGCTAAATTTAAAATGGAAACAATGTTTAAACAAGTCATTAAGAAGGTTTTAGATTTACCCTCCGAAGGAATTTCTGATACCCTATGTTAATGCAGGCATTGGGAAAGGTTTTTTTTTTTTTAAACCGAAAGAAATTACACTAAAAGATTTACAGTCAGTTTGCGTTGTAACACTATTATCCTAGATATATAAGGAAGCATTGACTTTACATATTCTATGTTCTGAAATATAATATAGAATACAGTGCAATTTATTTTTTGTGGGGTTTTCTTGGATTACAACATAGACAAAATAAAACAGGCAAACAATTGGGAAATTTAATGAGAAAAATTCAAGGTTTTCAAAAATGTTTAAACCTACAATCTGAGAAGTGTGTCATGCAGCTTTCTTGATCTAATACTGTTCAGAGCCATATTTTATTGCTGGCTCAGGCATTATGTTTAGGTCTTCCAGAGTCAGGTTGAGAATCTACACACTTCCCTCTTTAGCAAATCAATAAGTGCATTGAAATGTGACAGGAGAAACTTGAAGTGGATCTACAGCTTTCAGATTACAAAATGAGGCACAACATAGAGCCAGAGTCCTTCAGTGTGAAAGCCCGTTGGTGACAGGTGCTGAGTTTTGTTTTTTGCTTTTGGTTTGCTGATCACTTGTTGCAATCAGCCTGACTGGGTTTCCAGGTGGGGATAGTTTAAGCCATTTTTGTCTTATTAGACCAGGACACTTCTTCCACAAGTTCATGGTGTCCACTACATGGCTTGTTGCAAACTGCAAACATCACTTCCAATTGCTCTAAAAAAAACTGGGTGGCTGGGGAGAGGGATGTCTGGGCCTCCATACTGAAGCTGCTACCCCTGCAACCCGACCCTGGATAAGCGGAAGAAGATGGGTGGATGGGTGGATGGATGGATGGATGGATGGATGGATGGATGGATGGATGGATGGATGGATGGATGGATGGATGGATGGATGGATGGATGGATGGATGGATGGATGGATGGATGGATGGATGGATGGATGAATGGATGGATGGATGGATGGATGGATGGACTTTCAAAAGAAAAGGAGTTGTATTGATATTAGCTCAAAGTTATCAGAATAAACAAAAACTATTCAATAGATACACACACTAATAAAACCCCAATAAAAAATCTGCTTATGCCATGCCAAACTTCGAAGTCGATTAAGGCATGTAGATACACTTGCGGGACACCGGAATCACAGCTTTCATATATGACTTCCATATTGGCTGATATGAACTGTGTGTAATTAAAGGCTGTTATAAAATCCTAAGGCACATAGTTTATATCTTTGGTTATCCCTCAGCTGTCAGTGCTAGATCAGTTTGTTGTAACACTGATTTACCTTTGGTTAATGGCACAATGACTGTAAATCACATTTTTATTCATTATGCAACACCTGGAAGGATATAATTTAAACTGTATTTCCACATTGTTCCAATGGTTCTTTGTATTCAACACAATCCTCTCTGGAAAAAGACTTTTCAGCATGCAATCCCTTTTTTTAGCCTCAACTTTAGACGAGTAGAAGCGGTCTGACCGGAAGGGCAATAGACCTTTGTAAGTAGACAAGCAGCCATACCCTATTGAATCTAATTCACTGCTCTTTTTTCCAAGGGTCTTTAGTCCTGCTCTCAAAGCAAAACCTTATCCGGTCCTCACGTCCCTTCTTGTCCCAGATATTCTCAGTCGCAGCGGGAGGTTACGGAGTAAACGAGCACTTCCCCACTAAATCCCATAAGGTCGTGCTTTATTTGGACTCTGACAAATGAGCAACGAGTCTCTTAAGAGGATTATCAGTCCACTAGCTTTGCTTGACTCGCAATATGCCTAACTGAGAGTCGCCAGTGGGCAAGAGGAGCTGAGCATTAAGGTGCATAAGGAAGCTAAAGGGCTATGTTTTCACTCTGTAAGAGTAGGATCATTAAATTTATACAGGCTGTAGTAAAAGTAAGCCAAACTAGTTCTTTTATGGCATTTTGTTCTGAGATACATTATTTATTTGTAATTTCCCTTTGGGATTAATAAAGTATTTTTGAACTGAAAACACAATGAGATCATATCTCTTAGTGGAAAACAAATATTACAGCCCTACTTAAATGATCAAGTAAAGAGTTCCAAGTAAAAACAATTAGATGATGAATATTTTAACATAAGAAGAGGAAGTAGTCTGTGTTTCTATCATCAGGAAGTGAGCATGTTAATAAATCTTTCATTGATGTAACTGAAGTGGGCTTTGCTCACATGCTCATGCTTTTCTTAGAAAGAGAAATGTTTGTTGTTGTTTCCTTTCTATTCCAAAACTCTGCATATGGTAGAAAAGGTCCTATTCAAACTACCAGGAGCACACTGAAAGTGGGGAAACATAAAAGTAAAGAGGAGCTTCTGAGAAACAGGTGTAGATTTCAAAGGGTTAGGAAAGAGGTTAGTCTATTCTCTGACACAAGGTACACATTGGCACAGTCACTGTGCAAAAAACATCTCACACTAGAGTCAGAGACATATGATATATTTCCATTTCAGCTTCACTAAGCATTTTACCTTGGTAATAATCTGTCTACTGAACCTTTCCTTTCCAGAGTAACAAAGACGGCGGCTATCTTCATTGCAAGCAGAGTAATTGATGTCCTGCTAAGACGTTCTGTACTAATAGAGCATGATTTGGCATGCTCTGTGCTTTCCCTCTTTTAAATAATGAAGAATGATACAGGGGGGAGTGCGTGTCATTTAACCACATGTTCATGTTTTGTTATAAAAAAAAAAGATGGGATTTATCTGCAAATTCAATTAAGACAGAAGAGCGTCGCTTCTAAAAAAAAAACACAAAACGTTTACATTTTATTGCACTCCTAAATATTTCATCATCTGTTGTAACTAATTAGAAACTGGTTGACTAAAATTATCTTTTTCAGATTTAAAAAAAATTAAAATATCTAATCTATGGGCTAGATTTAATTAAAAAATACCAGAAAATTTTATGTTATTCACTTTTAAATGAGTTCAAGTCAACAACAATGAACTGGGATGTGGACACTTAGCAAAATGTTTTGTTGTGACCCACAACAGTGAGCAGCTGATGAGCCAGCAGGGAAGACAAGCCCACAGAAATGGTTTTGTTTCCCTAATAGTCTCTAGGTAGTGAGACACATTCAATCTTAATTATCAAAACATTCAATCAAATCCAGTACTTTATAAATTACCAGCTTAAAAGGGAAAAACACACCAGCTGTCTTTATAAGAAAGCCCAGATGAATACATCAAAATGTTGACTTAACAGCAATCCCTCATCCTGAGTAGGCACAAATATTTTCTTTTTTATATACACAATACTTTCTATCTACAAATATAGAAAAACAATGAATAATTATTCCAAAAATGGGTTGTTTTACATTGGTATGGCGTTGTTAAGGTCTCCTTGGTTATATTGCATTTTTTTTCAGGATTTTTTTTTGTAATAAAAGTGAATTTGAACGAGCTTGTATCAATAACTTACAAGAAAGATTAGAGAGTAAAGTAGGTGCAGCTAAGGTGTTTCAAGGTATTTGAATCAAAATCGCATTTATTCTCCCTTTTTCTCTAAGAACTGCCAAATTTATAAAAAGGTTATTAAAGCCAGGAATAGCTTTAAGTGGTTACTATTAGGGCTGGGTAAAAAAAATCGATTTAATCAATTTTGAATCGATTACTTTACATTTTTGCAGAATCGATGTCTAGGGAATGAGATCGATTAGTTTTATAGTGACGCGCATGACGTTCACACTTAAATGAGCAGGAAAGATGCACTCAAGATGACTTCAAGGTAGACAGCTGCAAATATAGCCAATAGGTTGACTGAAGACATTAAAAAATTGGGGCTTCCAGCAAGCACCCTGTAGTTGTTACAGACAACGCTGCAAATATGGTTTGTGCAGTGGAGATAATGAAGCTCATGCATGTCTGCTGTGTCCCTGCTGTGTCACGTCTGCTCGCTCTAGTGAGGCTTCACTTTTTCACTTTTCACAAACAAGTTTGCACTTATGAGACAGTTTTGTTCACATCTCAAGTTTAAACTGTCTGATTTACAAGTTTGCACTTTGTGTTTAATGTGACAGAAAAAATAAAATACATGAGTATTTTGAAACACAGTTAAACCACTTTCATTGTTGTAAAAACAGATCGAATCGAAATTAATCGATTTAGTACTCTATTAAACAAAATAAAATCGATTCAGGACTATGGCGAAAATACCCAGTCCTAGTTACTATAATACTAAAACTTAATTAACACTACACTAACTCCAACTTCAAAAAATGTTTTATATAGTCACAGCTTCATCATTTCACTTATTGATTTTAACTATAAACATACCCAAAATAAAGTTATTGTTTGGTCTTTTGCCATTTCAGCTAATGTTTAAACCTTTGCTTTTAGATGATTCTTTACACTTCCAGTCATTTTCATTCACCTCATAATCTCATACACTTATTTTCATTTAAAGGCATACTGGATGTTTCTATGAGGTGGTGGTGTGTGTGTGGGGGGTGTGTGGGGGGGAGGAGCTAAGGAAAGGATGGACGCATTGCGGGGGAGGGGGATTCCACTAGACGTTTAATGGTGAATGAATGAAGATAGACAAGGAAAAAAAAAAGCAAGAACTGGAAGGCAGGATAACTTTCTGACAGTAGCAAAGAACGTACATTTTTGAAATAAGAATATTTTTCCATAATCTTATAAATTTTTTTTGATAGTTTTTTTTTTACCTAGAAAACAGTAAAACCATTCATTATTTAAAAAAAAAAAGTGTACGAACTTTCTTTTAATGCCATAGTATATGAAGAAAAAAAACCGAAGAGAAAAGGAGACTTTAATCAGTATGCTTTGCCAGTCCTCACTTCTGATGGAGCTTAATAACTTGCTGGATTATCCCAACACAGAGCAGCACCTTTCTAAACTTCATGGTGGAACGGTTTCTAGGCTAAAGGTCTTAATCTGCACTAATGGATTACATAAGGCGTCTGCAGCTTCCCCCTTTATTATCTCTCCGTTTCTGTCTTCATTCAGTCACTCTTTTGTGTAATGAGGACACTGGACTTTTTGTTTCGGCTCACTGCAAAGAATCTGTGGGCAAATTTCCTAATTAGGGGCCTTTCAAAACTCTTTTAAAAAATAACTAGGAAAAGACATGCAATTACATCTACTGCAACACCACAGCCTGAGCACAAAATCAATGCAACAGCATGAAAGAAAAATGTTGTATTAGCTTCATGCTGTTTTATTCAGAGAGGGTTTTTAAGAGAGTATGTCTTTTGAAGATGGGCTACATTGCATTGCTGCCTAAGAAGTTTCCGGGTTCGATTCCCACTTTTCTGCATGGAGTTTGCACGTTCTCCCTGTGTATGCACAGGTTCTCTCCGGGCACTCCGGCTTTCTCCCAAAGTCCAAAAACACGACTGTTAGATTAATTGGCTCCTCTAAATTCTCCTTAGGTTCGAGTGTGTGCTTGAATGGTTGTTTGTCCTGTTTGTCTCTGTTTTGCCCTGGTGACCTGTCCAGGGTGTACCTTGCCTCTCGCTCATAGACAGCACCCCTGAACCCCAGCTAAGATAAAGCATGACAGAAAAAATGGATGAATGGTTTTTAAGACTGTGTGTTGAAAGTTTTAAAATGTAAACACTTAATTATTCCAGAGTTCAAAGAGATGTGACGTCCATGTTTCACTGAAATGGTTGTTGTTAAACTCCATCCTATATGTGCACAAGTATGTCTGCCTGAAATCTTATACTGGAATTTGTGAAAATTGTCTCAGTTTCTTTGTTTTTAAAGTTTTCTTAAGTAGATCACTCATTTAATCTCCTCTATATGACCCCTGCTACCTTTGAGCCTGTGTCTTTCCCTGTTCTGAAGAAGCTTATACAGTGGATGAAACCATCAGGTTCCCCCACTGATCCTATTCCCCCTTGCCTTCATAAAGATGTTCTTAATACCACAGGACCTTCTGTCCTGGCTGTTTTCAGTAGCACTACTGCCACAACTGCGGTCCCCAGTGCTTTACAGCATGATGTTGGATGCAGCATTTAATTAATTGCTTTATTTTTTTAGATAAATCTTTAAGGTCATCTTCCATTCAAAGATGTTAGAGAAAAGTATTTTTTCCACAAATAAATTCATTTTCAAATAAACATTTTCATCCATCCATCCATCCATCCATCCATCCATCCATCCATCCATCCATCCATCCATCCATCCATCCATCCATCCATCCATCCATCCATCCATCCATCCATCCATCGGGTTTCCATACAAACACTCACACTTGAGGACAATTCTAAATACGCCAGTTAACCTAACAGTCATGGTTTGGACTGGAGGAATCCGGAGTACCCGGAGAGAACCCATGCATGCACAGGGAGAACATTTAGAAGGAATCGAACCCAGAACATTGTTGCTGAAGGCAACAGCGCTACAAACTGTGCAACCGTGCAGCCCACTAGAAACATTTTATTTAACTATTATTTCTATAATCCAACAATTTTTCTAGCAACTGTCTCTGTTATTCTTTACTTTATTATGCTTTCTTGTTATGAAGATAATCGGACATAAGACTAAATGAAGAAAAGAAAAACAAAGATGTTGCTTGTTTACATTTATGCCCTGCAGTCATACTCTCATTATATTACACTATAGTAAGACACTTGTTACAAATGCAGTGATGTAACAAAGACGGCCTTTTAATCTCTGTGGTCTTTCAGGTACAAATAAATCAGCAGTAACAATCCAAACATAGAGATACATATTTGTTCATTATGTTATATTGAATTTAATCTCCACTTTTTATTCAGGGCTGTAGAATCAAGAATGGCTTCTCTGTACAAATGGATTTGTTTCCCTCATTATCTTATCACCATTTGGTGCTTCTGTGTGTCACTATGGAGACGATGGTAAACAACAGTGGAGGGAGGGGTAGAGCTGAGGACTGAATGGGGCCAGGCTATCAGGGAGCTGCAAGGTCCCTGAGGAGCATTAAATTTTTAGCAGGTCTGTACCCATCTGGGGTACTTCCACACAATACCGAAGGTACAAAGTGCCTCATCATTTTGATGTCATTTGTCTCCATATAGCTGCAATAACAACGCATGTTCTTCATGTTATTCTATTTTATTAGAAATTTGGAATAAGAGGATTTCATTTCACCTTTTGATTATTTCACACGTTCTCCACAAAAAACAGCTTTGAAAAGTAATGCTGAACCATAAAACAAAAATTTGGCACTAAAACATCCCGCAAGTATAAACATATTTAATTATTCTTAAGCAGCCTTTTTAAAAGACTTTGCAATCATACCAAGTCTTTCAACCCCAAGTAACTTATAGTAAAAACTGTTTACTCTAGTGAAAGTTTAGTCTACCAAGCAACTGACCAATAAGAACTATCATCCAATGTTTGTTTGACTAGCTCAGATAGGTAAACAGCTGATCTAAAACAAAGGATATTTTCAACCCTGATCATTCAGTCTAATATCACTGAAAACTTCTTTGAACAATAATATTGTCAGCACAAAGTGTTGTCTGATACACTTATTCATTTTAAATGAAGCAAAAACCCATAACAGAAATATTCTGATTTATGCTTTATTACATAAATGGGTGCTGCTTAGTAATTTCTTGGTGTTCACACAATTACCTCTATCAAGGCTTTTGAATGAAAGTCAAATGAAAACAAATGAGTTTCTGTGTTCTATTGTCATCAGAAAAGGTGCAGTTTGACAAAACCAGCGTCGCTGTGTGAGACCTAAGTTCAATTCAATTCAGTTTATTTATATAGCGGCAATTCACAACATGTCATCTCAAGGAACTTTACAATTCAACCAGATCATACAGTCAAATTGATTTAAAGTTTTCTATCTAAGGAAAACCAGCTGATTGCATTGATTTGAAGGAAATCCCTCACACCAAGCATGATTGTAACGACAGTGGAGAGGAAAAACTCCCTTTTAACAGCTAGAAACCTACAGCAGAACCAGGCTCATTGTGAACGGCCATCTACTGCATTTGAGGATGACTGGGGTTCAAGGAGACAGAAGCAGACATACAGAAAGAAGCAGAGATACAAAAGGCAAATGTTCACCATCTCTAATGGCGGCAGTGTCCTGTGGAGCCACCTGTGGATAAATAAAAACTTGATGCGGGTCTTTGCCAGGAAAAGTCAGATCAGTAGATGTCATGTATTCTAACTTGAAGATTCAGCCACGTGTTGACCAAAGATAACATAAATGCAGAGCATTGTACAAAGAAAATGGATCTCTTAAAAGACGTTTGTTATATCAGGTTATATCAGGATCCCACGCATCAAGTAGAGATATCTGAAACTAATCTGCCAGGTGTTTATAGAACTATGTAGAACAGCTTTTCTGTTCTTTACAAGGGTGTGTGACTTGAGTTACCAATGAAAAATCAGTAAGTCCCACTGCAAACATGTTCATGTAAGAAACTAATTAACGATAATGCTAAAAATATGAGACTATGAATTAAGAAACTGACGCAGATCTACAATTAGTTGCAGTTGGTACTGTCTCGACAACACAAGCTGATTTGAAAGACTACTCTTGTACAGTCTTGTTGCAATTATACAACAGTGCTTTTCCCCCAAAAAAAGAGATGCATAAAGAAATTAAATTGGCCTGACTGGTCAATAGCTTATCAGAAACCCAACACTGATGAGCTCAGCCAATTTGTAGTGACAAACAAAAAAAAAACAAACACAAAAACACTACCTGCCTTCTGAAGTTGTTAATGCATTAAAAAGACAAAAGTTATTGACAATATAGGAGGTAGACAAACCCATACCCCTGCTTCACCACAGTATGGGGGAAAACTGTCAAAAGTGTTAAATATAACGTACACATTATACAATTAAAGTTACTTTAACAGAACTAAATGTTCTCAATTGATAGGTGGGTGTACAGCATGACTAAGTGAGAATGGAGGTAAGAAAAACATCTAAACATCCATAATATTTTGATAATAAACAAAAGAAATAATGAATATAAAGGAATGTCTTGTTTCAGGATTTCATGTAATCGTATTTAAATAAAAAAACAAATATTTAGCTCAAATGTGTGAATTCTGTGAAGGACTATGGTGTTTTGTTTACGCACAAACATTGTAAACTTAATCCTGTAAAAAAATTAAAATGTAGCCTCTAAGGATAGCTTTACAATCGACATTATTCTGATTAAATGACTAAAGATAAGGGGAAAAGGGTAACATCTAAATCAAACTGGCCAGTGGTGTGAAAGGAATCATTTTAAATGATGTGAAGACAAATCTTACTTTGGACTGTGTCCCAGTAACAGTCGGAGAGAAGCCAGGTCTCCCTTGGCAGCAGCATAATGGACAGGAAGGGCTCCTGTATCTGTGGAGGCACCAGGGTCCACCTCACCACTCTTCAGCAGCCATTCAGTGATCTCCTGGTGACTGAAGCGACACGCAAGGTGGAGAACCGTGGCTCCAGAGCTGTCCTTATCCTGCAAATGGACCAAGCATTGCTAAATTCAGGGCATAATCTCTCTGTGGTAACCTATAAAATCAAGGCGATCAGGGTACAACTGGTGAAAAGGGTGAGTTATCTTTTAAAAAAAACTTTCAAGAGGTGAAAAAAATATGCTCTTTAAACTAAGGAACTAGTAAAAAAAAAAAAAAAAAAAAAAGGCTAATTCATGTGATCAGTAGAAATGGTCCACCCTCCCATTTGTAATTAAAATTCCTCCTAGCCATGCATGGGTCACACACTTTATTTTTTACATTTTCTGTCAAAGTTCAACAACAGAACAGTAAACGGATGCTCTCTGGAGTATAGCACGACTATGTCACATAACATCTGTCTGTTATTTCATTTTTCTGACATCTCCCAAACCTACTTCATTCTACTTAAAGGAGGTAAAGCAGGTTTCATGGATAAACTATATTTGTCTTGAGGCTTAAAGATCTGTATGACAAAATCTAATATATATTTGCCTTAACGTTTTTAAATTTACAATGCACATTTTTCATATCTGTGGTTCTGCAGATGAAAGGTAATTCAAATTATGCATAACTTTTGAGTGTCTGCAAATTGACTCTAATTCTCTGGTTGTACATTAGGACTAAAATGTTATTAAAAATATATTATTACTTAAATAAAACATAATAAAAGATTTATTGTGATTAGGTTTCTGAGACACCTTTATGTTTCAGATAATCAGATACGTTTTAAAAGTAGACAACGATAATTGAAACTAATAAAAAAAATCTATTTTCTAAGCATCTTTTCATTTATTTAGTAGAAAGATCAATCAAAAACAACCAGGCACATTTTCTTTTAGTTGCTTTGTACGATTAAAATCCTGAACACCGACGTTAACAAAGAAAAGTGACTTTAGCAGTGCATTTGGTGGTTTTCTGCATTTATTTTATCATTGTTCTTTTGCAGTAAATCTGATTGGCCAGCTACACCTAAGAAGGTTCACCAGTGTTCCATGTTTTCTCTGTTTGTGGATGATGGTTCTCAGTTTGTGATAATTGACAAAATGTTTGCCCTACATCTGTTCTTTAATTTAGCTTACTTCATGTCACTAGACAAACTTTTTAGAAATAGTTTCTTAATAGTTCAGGTCTGAAAGTCATCAGGTCTGGGTTTGGTTACTGAACCAAATAAGTGATTACTTATTTTTTTAAAGGAAAATTAACTTTCACGAAGGGGCCACTATGGTCTGGATATCAACATTGCCTTTAAGTTGCAGAATAAATCAATAAAAAAATTGAACTTTATTGATCTCACTATGGAGAAATTACCTCTGCTTTTAACCTATCGCCTTTGGGGTGCATAGGGCTGCCATTGTGCAGCGCCCGGGGAGCAATCAGGGTCAGAGTGGCAGTCTCTGGGAGAGGGTTTTGAACTCACAACCTCAGGATTCCAAGCCCTATGCCCTAACCGTTAGGTCGCGCTCCCCACTACAGTTGAGTTCATATTATATTAGTAACTTCAGGGATAAATAGAGAAAGAAAATCAATATATATATTTTCTAACTGCCTTGTTTGATATCAATTTAGATATTTGCAAGTTTGAAAATCTGCAAAAGCCAAGACAAGATGAGAGTTAAGGACGGGAATCAAATTATTAGTCAGTATAAAAACTTAGACACATGTCAATGTGATAAACTTTAAACGTAATATGGGAGTGGTAAAATAAGGGAACACTAAAGCCAACATATGTTAAAAAAAAGTTTTAAAAAGACATAAAGAGAGATTGCTAAGAAGTCTTAAGGTCAATAATGAAGAACAGTGCTATAAATAAAAGTTCAAATTAAGATGCATCTTTTTAAAAGGGCAGTAATAATGACCAAATACAGACAATCAGGACAAAAATTCAAATTCAACTATTATCCCATAGTATGACACCCTGTTCCAAATAACACTACATATTATCTTGTTATGGTTCTTATTTTTAGACCCATTTGGTTACATGACAATTCCTACAAGAACTAGCATACTTATAAAATCAAGTGTCTTGGAAGAACGAACATATATATATACATGATGGTTTTATTAGATTCAGCACAATAAAGAACTTCTTACTTCAACACCTGACCCATCACAGAATATTTTAAAAGACAATATAGTACAGGTCTAACTACTTGGAAACACAAGCTGGATCTCTTTATTGGCTGTGATTAATTTGCATGCACTGGGAACATGATGTAACTGAGTCCACATGGAGTTTAAGTCGCCATGTGAGGGTTTAACCTTTGCAGTATAAACACCCCTCCATGTTTCACATTAACTGAACTGACATTACATTTTTGTGACCCTCAATAAACGCTGTCAATGCTGAATAAGGGATATTAGGTATGCAAACTGAGCTTTGCATACCTCATCACCATGGTAACATCAGACTGCAGCAAGGTAAGTTTTAATAAGAAAAACGAGGTTTACATTTAAATGCGCTTCTAATCCTGAATGTGTACACAATGTTACCGGCAAGTATTCAAATGCTTCACTTTTCCACATTTTGTTACAAACCAGACTTATTCTACAACTGAACTGAGCATAAATTTAAGTTTGACAAAAGCCCACAATGACAAATATTAGTTTCATTTTTTCTAAATCTAAAAAAGAACTGCTAAAATTGAAACATAATACGGTAGATACATAAATATTCACGTCCCTTACTCTGACACTGAAAAGTAAGTTCAGGTGGATTTAATTTCTACTAAGCTTTTTTGAGACACTTCCACAATTTATGTGTGGTAAATTAAGTTAAACATGGTTATGAATGGATCACACCTGTCTGGTTCCTCATGCATATGAGAGAGAAAACCAGTCAGTTACATTGTAGACCTCAAAGACCAGACAAGTTTGGGTCAAAGCATAAACATGGTTAAGGATATAAATCAATCCTACAGCATTGAACATATTAAAAAACACAGTGATTCCTTTAGACAGAAATAAATAAGGTTACCACTAATATCCTCTCTAGACCTAGCAGCCCAACTTCATGGTATCTGGAAAGGGGGGCTTAGCACAGAGACATGATCAACAACCAAACAGTCACAAATGTTAGGTGCTGATGGTTCCTTGAGAAAATCAGGTAAATACAGGCCAACCATTGCTAATGCGCTCCTCCAATCAGACCTATGATAAATTGGCTGGATGGAAGCATTGTTGGATGGGACATTCTACAGTGTTTGAATACCAAAATATTTGAGCTTAAACAACTAATTCTGTTTTCTAACCAGACTAAGATTACATTTTACAGCATAGGTCCCACTAGCATAGGAGCAGATAGAGGACGAGCCTCAGCAATCTGGATCATTCCAGCTCAAATGTAGGATTTCGTTACTGAACACATTGTCACCAAAAAGATTAATAACGTAATTTTTCAATAATCTTTTTGTGTTTTTCAAATATTTTATTAAAGAGGATTTTAAAGTGTTTAGTTAATTACAACAAAGGAAATAAATGATGGTTTGCCATCAGATGCACCTTAACCCCACATATGTCAAAACTATTTCATTTTCTCTTACTAATCCTCATCATTTATAATGCAGAACTAAAATAGTAAGAAAGGTGACCGTTAGAGCTTTGAATTGGTGTTTTCAGCACCAAAGCTGTTTGGACAGCAGCCATTATATAGTGACATATAGGATCAATTACATAAATTATTGATGCAATTTTCAAAAGACAGATTTGTTGCTTGCTATTTTCCCACAAGCTCTCATTATGGTGATTGATATTATGCACTAACAAGTTCAAGGCAAGCCAACATTGCAAGGTTGAATCTAAAATGAATCTGGCAGACATTAATCTGGGGGATGCCATTAATTGTGACATTGTGTTGAAATGAATCATCCAGGAGCAGGAGAATGCAGTGGTGCAAGACGTTTTTTCAATTTAAATAAAAGGTATAATTTCAGACTTTGCCTCTCGCCCATAGACAGCTGGCATCCCTCGCGTCCCTGCTTGGGATAAAGCATGTCAGAAAATGGGTGGGTGGATGGCAAAATTTCTGTTTTTGACTGGCTCCAATTCCAAGAAACACATTTCATTTTTCTTTGGGATTAATAAACAACTTTTGATTGGAATTTATTTTCAAGTCATATCTCAGTTAATTCATCAAATCTTAAAATGGCATCGCTCGATAAATGATTTGTCAAAAATCCTCACAGTCCATTTCAAACAGTCCAAGTATGTTAACATGGGACAGAATACTTCCACTCCTATTTTATCTGGCATTATACCAATTCCTCGTTCTCATCACAATGAAAACAGACATGATAAATTGATAAATCTGGTCAATTGATCAGAGGAGGCAAACAAAAACAACATGTGCATATGCTGATCCTAATATTTTGCACATTCTAGTTATAGGCATATTATGTTCTGTGTAATCAGGAAGGTAAACATGTTTAATGGTTTGCAATAGCTCTTCTGTGCATGGTCAACTCATGCATCCCTTTTGTGGCACATGGTGGTAGCAGGATCAGACTTTGGGACATATTTCTAAAGTATTAACTTGGAAACCAGCAGTCTGCATGAAGTGCAATGATATCAACAAGGTACTGTGGAATATTAAATAAATAAAAAAAAGACACCCCATTGCTTTTAAACTCAAAAGAGGGTTGTCTATTATTTTCAAACACAACAAAGACCCTAGCCCAAATAGAACATCAGAGATGACTAAAGGAGCACTCATCCCAATGATATTTACATCAGCCTTGAGTGGGTCAGTCACTGAAGGACAATGTGAATGTCTCTGAGTAGGCGAGCCCAGACTTAAATCCTTTGAACTTCTCTAATAAGACCTAAAATGTCTGTCTACTGCTTCTCAGCTTAAAAATGTGTTATTATAGGCTTTTTTGTAGATATCTAACAAAAGAAAATGTGTTAGAATAAATTTGTGTTAACACAGATATCATGTTTTGTTTGATTTGAGTATATACCCTATACTAATAATACTTTTAATTGTTGCAGCTGCTTGTACATGAGCTTGACTGAAATTACAACAAAAGGGCATCAGGGGAAGGAGTTCATTCTTGAAGAACCTGTCTCCATTATTTAATATTTGGCTAGAAGGCTCCAGAAATCTACAAAAGTCTACAAAAAAACTGAGTTAAAACACCCACATTCAAATTAAGCTGGTGTGTACATCGGTTTAGGGCTGTATAGTCAATATTTCTGCTAATGAAAACTTAACAAATATTGACTTCTATGTTGGCCAGTCAGGCATAAACATGTCTACCTACCCAGTAATTGATTGGTTCCTATTTTACTATTCAAATGGCCCAAACTTATCAGTGAATGGACTCCACCTGGATTTATGTACAGTATATAAAACTTTGTGTCTGATATTGTGATCATTGACTGTTATTAAAGCAAACTTCAATGCAGCAAACAGTAACGGTCATATATAATGCAATTAATCTGATTATTTATTTTACAGGAAGCTGGAATCGTGTCTTATGTTATGTTTTGTATTGACCAAAAACCCAATTCATCAATTCTTCCTTTAACAGAATGGAGAAAGAGGCTTTATATTATAAGAACGCTCTGCATTTAATAGTTAGTTTTAGAGAAATGGAAAAGAAAAGCTTATGTAATCTACAAACAAACACAAATCACTTTGACACTTAAAAATAAATAGTCTGAATCTATGGTCAAGGACAATTAGTGGTACTTGAGCTACAGTTTGTGGTTTTAAATATGATACTTATCATTTTGTAAGATAAATTTGTTTCAATGTAGTGCTATGACAGCCACTTACAAAAAACACTGCTACACCCTTCTTAAATCAGCATAGTCTAAAATAATTTAAACGTTTACAGTAAACCAAGCGCAAGTTCTGGTTGCATCTTATGATGTGGAATATAGTTACTGTTAGAACTTGGATGTAGAGATAAGCCAAGAGATTTGTTAATGCTCAGTGCCCAGGAAGTAATAGAAAAACAAAATAACATAGTTCACTATGGAGCTGCACAGTGGAATACTGGACAGCACTGCTGCTTTGCAGCATGTTGGTTTCTGGTTCTATTCCCTGCCCGGGGTCTTTCTGCATGGAGTTTGCATGTATGGGTTCTCTCCGGGTACTCCGGCTTCCCCCCACAGTCAGAAAATATGACTGCTAGGTTAATTGGCTTCTCTAAATTCTCCTTAAGTGTGTGTGAATGGTTGTTTGTCCTGTTTGTCTCTGTTTTGCCCTGCAATAGACTGGCGACCTGTCCAAGGTGTACCCCGCCTCTCGCCCACTGACAGCTGGAGATAGACACCAGCAACCCTTGCAACCCTAGCAGGGATAAGCATGACAGAAAATGGATAGATGGATATTATATGGATATTATATTGTTGCGGTCACTAACATTTAGATAAAGGCCTACCATATTTGATTCTGAGGTTAGGTTCTGCCAGAACCTTTTATTTTGATTCTGAATTCATATGTTGTTTTATACATTTTCTGAATACTTTGACATATGATAATCTCAGTAAAAATACGATACACATTCAGACATGCAACAAAAGGTTTTAATTCTTATAATTATTCTTGTCAAATAATCTACAGTCTAATTTGAAATTAATGTATTAATAACTGGATAGCTTAAAGGTGCTTAAGATTTTTTATTTTTTTTGTACAGATGAAGCTAAAACTATACTATTGGAGGAGGTACAGATAAAGACATTTTTTATTTTTCATGTAAAATGTATATTAATTATGTTGGTTTGGCTTTGTTCCTGCTCGGAGATGGTTTTCTCTCATGTTTCCTGTTAACATTGGATCAAATACTGAATCAGATAAGTCATGGTTAACTTAATAAATGGTTTTAGTCTTAATGTAATGCCAGCATGTTTTCTAAGTCATGCCTATAACAAACAGCAGTAGGCTACTGAGAACCCCTGTCCTAAATTGAAATAGAGGGTTCTCCTGGGCAGTTATGGATCTTATTCATTATTATTATTATTTATAATCAGTATGTTAATTGAATTATGCCAATCGAATGCTGTGGTCAGAATAAAGAGCTGAGGGGTGTGCTTCAGGTTACTCACCTCTGGCCGACACCCCCCCTGGGTCAGCAGCCACTGTAAGCAGGCCAGGTTACCCGTGGCTGCCGCATCATGAGCGGGACTGGCCCCATTGTTGGCCACGCAGTTCCCCTGCAGTCCCGCTTCCTCTACCAAAAAACGCAGGCAGGCCAGCTTTCCTGCCCGGGCTGCGTGGTGGACCGGTGAGGCTCCCAGCACATCCTTCACCTCGCTGCTGAGGACCTTTGCAGCTAAGAGCGTTTTGAGCGTCTGAACGTCTCCCTGCCTGGCTGCAAGCAGCGCCCTGTCCCCCTCCACCACCATGGCTGCAGGCTGCTGCGGGCTAGACGGCTTCTTTCCCCGGTTGCCTACTTTGACCCCCCCACCCTACCTGTAGTTCACCGAGTCAGCAGCGCTGCATCCATAAACCCCCCCGGTCACCTCAGTCTCCAGGTTAATTCAGTGGACAGGCTTAATTATTGCTCCATGCGTAGCCTATTTATGGAGCGACGAGGAAAAACGGAATCCGTTCCAAAAATTAGGATTTCAGACTTTTTTCCATGCTGTAATAAAACTCACTGAACACTTCCAGTATTCCTTAGACTTATTAAATAAAATATCCGCTTCAGCTTCACCTGACAAGCAGGATTCCTCCAAACACCTGTTGCACAAGGCGTCCTCAGTCCTGTAAACTATCTACCTATTTATTGTTTGTTTACTTTTTCTGCCCAGTTAATGCATCCTATCGTATATCTCGTAGACTCTTGCTGTTTTCTCTTCTTTTAGCAGATGGCGACATGGGACTGATCACCTGATAAATAATCCAGCAGGGGGAGGTCCGTTTAGCCGGTAGTAGATGTTGGCTAAAAATCGGCTCACACATTAAAGGAGCAGTGCGCACAACCTGTCGGCCAGCAGAAGTCCCTCCTTTCCAAAACAGCTCAACAGAGAAAACTGTCAAAGCCTGACTAAGCTACCCTATGACCAAATGCTGACGTCAGACATTATTCTAAAAGTTTATTTTTGCAAAGCTTCATAAATACTAATGTTGCATTAACATTTTAAGACCCCGTAAATTGCTCATTGTAGAGTTCCATCTAGTGGCCTTTTAAAGAACTAGACACATTCCGGAGGTTGGAAAATAACAAATTATATTTATATAGCAGATACATAGTTAGGCCTCATTACTTCCAGATTTTAAAATATATTTAATGAAATACCAATTTTTAATAATCTATTTTTCATTTCATTGTTTTCCAGCACGTTTAGTCTGCATTTTTAAAATACACCTGGACCCTGAACCAGTACAGGCAGACTTGATGTTGTTTCAGATTTAATAAAATATTCCAAATAATGTTATTTTTAAGTACAACCACAGCATATGCATAATTAGTTGGTTGCAAAGAGGATGTAAATGAACCCGTAATTTAGCCTAATTTAACCTTGAGCAGCCATGTTAGGATATTATCTTAATTTTTAAAGATTATCCTAAAGATAAAGAAATACTAGTGATGTTCAACCTGGTTTTAGCTTTTAATTTAGACCGACTATCTATCTATCTATCTATCTATCTATCTATCTATCTATCTATCTATCTATCTATCTATCTATCTATCTATCTATCTATCTATCTATCTATCTATCTATCTATCTATCTATCTATCTATCTATCTATCTATCTATCTATCTATCTATCTATCTATCTATCTATCTATCTATCTATCTATCTATCTATCTATCTATCTATTTGGAGTGAGAATGTTTAGGATTTTAAGTCCAGCACTAACTGTGATACTTAACATCACCAAATGATGGCAGCAAGGATATATATTCCTATGCATCTGCACCCTGTACCTGTACCACTGTCTAGGCCTCTATTGCATACTAACCTTTAAAGTAAAGAGCATCTCGGTGCCAAATGAGGTGTTTAACAGTGATTCACAACATCTGATCCAAAAAAGGATGCGAATTGTGAAAATGATTTCAGGACCTCACAGGTGGATGACTCCATAACCATAACTCTAATTGGCCAGGGCTAAGTGGATAAAACCAGGTATAGGCCTATTATAACAAGACGACCACAGTCCATCAGGTTTATTGTTTATCCAAACACTTTTATCAAGCTCTGTCGAACAAATGTGCTTTTACTATTATGAAATGTCTGTCTACATTGATTTCCCATTAGGAGTTAATGATTAAGAGAATTTAAGAATTGGGAATCATGGAGGGGCACCAATTTTAAAGAGCCTCATATTCTGATATATAGACTATATCCTAGTTTTAAAAAGTATTTACATCAGTCTGCACATCGCGCTCCTTCGGTGTCAGATCAGTATGATTAATTTTTTCTGCTCAAGCTGCTTCAATGGGATGCGATTCCTTTTCCTGCGGGTTGAGGGGTCGCTGGGGGGGTGGTGGTTGCAAGGCTCGTGCCTGGCGCGTGGCACCTCATCCCATCTGTTGCACAGATCCAACTGACATAGAAACCGCGCGCCAATTTTACAGGAAGGGGAGGGGGGAATTCCCACGAGTGGTCTGGTACTTACATTTCCCCAGAGGAAGTGGGCAATAATAGACCTCTAACAGGCTTAATGTGCGTGAAACACAAGAAGCACCTGAACACAGAATAGAAAATGGCCTGAATTAGAGCAGACTGGGTTCTTTAAATAATAAGACACAAAATATGCAGAAATAATATCACAAGCTTAGTTGGATCTTTTGATTTTCTTAGCTTTTATTTAAATAAGGACTAGTTATTCGATTGTATAGGGCTCCCAACAATTTTCCTGCTTTGTTTCTTACATATTTCAGTTTAATTTTTTTCATTTTTTTGCAAAAATGTAACGATCTGTAGGCCTACATGCATTTTATTTCTGCACTGATGCGCAAGTCTTCATTCATGTTTACTGATCCCTGCATAATTGTTCCGGCCATTCTTCTTTGCTGCAGTTTATAAAATATATATATATATATATATATATATATATATATATATATATATATATATATATATATATATATATATATATATATATATATATATATATATATATATATATATATATATATATATATATATATATATATATATATATTTTTTTTTTTTTTTTTTTTATTATTATTATCATTATTATTTTGGGGTTTCCAGTAATCAGACCATGTGGCACTCCGGATTTAATATAATCTTAGAAACCATTTTTTTACTGTAATGTGAAAATTTGCTTTACAGTCTATTCTAATTTTGATTTGCATTCAATAATCCTATGATAATTATATTTCATTTAATTACTTTTTTAGGGATGTTTTAATATATTTGCTTCCCTTTGCATTATTTTTATTTGCCAGTGACACGGCTGAAGTTCCACATCATGAGACAAAATGAAACTTTTTTTCTCCAACCATGTGAGTTTTCTTATATAATTTCCCCAGCTCTTTTGTTAAACTATACAGGAAACTGAGTTTTACTGTTTTTTTTTTAATATTTTATTTTTCACTTGGAAACATTTCTAATTTTAAATCAGAAACCAAACAAATAGTTCATTTGTTTGCATATAATGTAGGCCTATTACCTCTTCCTTGCTGCCTGAAATATACATTATGACTCCATCATTATATTTAAAGCAAGCCGTTTCTATGGTGCAGCTGCAGCTTTTGACGGCCTCTAATATTGTGAAGTGTTTTCCCAGCCTTCCTTAAAGCGCTTCTCCCCCTCTTTGAACCAGTCAACAGTTAATTCCCAATTGAAGTGAACAAGGTTGAGTGGGGGTGGGGTTCCGTCAACGGTTTTTCATTTTTATTTTTCCCACCATGAGCCTGGGAAGCTGGGATATTCCTCGCACGCGTCAGACGTGAGACTGTTATTCAAATGAATCTCATTTATTCAGGGCGTGGGCCCCATCTATTGTTTTCTCACATCTGCTCCTGCCCGGGAAAATTCAAACCAGGATCCCCTCGGATCAAGTTCAGAGCCCTTGAACGATAATACCAATAGGCTGATTTATTATGTGGTTTCAATAATAATAATATTACAAAAAAAATCTCACATGGAGCTACATTTTACAAATATAGTTTATTATGACTTTCGGATTCACCAAATCAGATTTAGAACCTGTCATACATTAAATAAGATAAAACATTTTTAAAAAATCAATTAGTGGTAACAATAAGCAGGTCTATTCCAGTTTTTTTTTTTTTTTTTTTTTTAACGTTTCCAAGTGGGTCTTAAAATTGCTCTTGAAAGTGCAGATAAGCTCATTCCGCCTCGTCTGCAAACCATCAACCGATTGGCGCGTGCAAATTGCTTTTGGTGGTGAACTGAGGCGCGTGCAATCAGACGTCTATTAGTGTTGGAGGTTTATTTTTTTATTTAATTTGCAAAATCCGTTATATTAATGTAGGTATTTTTTATATAGCCCAACAAGATATATGATGACGGATCCAGCATTACATTCTGTTTGGAGGCTGATAAAAGTGTAAAAGCATGAAGCCAAGGTTAACTTTTATATTTTGCATTGAAAACCTGATACACCGTGAAAATGCAAAATCCCATCTGCATTCTTATTTACACAAAATAACTACGTGTCCCATTGATGTGTTTTGCATGAAAAAAGAAAACACGCCACACAAAAAAATGATTTATTGAGCATTTAAATGAAGAAACACACACACAAGAGAGAAATATTTTTTATTTATACATTTCCTTCCTTCCTTCCTTCCTTCCTTCCTTCCTTCCTTCCTTCCTTCCTTCCTTCCTTCCTTCCTTCCTTCCTTCCTTCCTTCCTTCCTTCCTTCCTTCCTTCCTTCCTTCCTTCCTTCCTGGCACTGTGTTTGGACTGTGCTGATTGATAGTTTTATTAATCACACATTTCTAGTCAGTACTGCTTGTCTTTTAAGTTATATGGCGGAAAATCTTTTTAACTGGCGCTTTATACATTCTTGTAATTTATTTTGATTCATTCATTTTTAACAGTGATTTAAAGCTTTAAGCTGGTTATGAAAGATCAATCACATCTGATCCCAGTTTCTTATTTCTGAATAAAACTGATTTTATTGTATTTTTAAATGAAAACTCTATGTAACTATATACTAGCTCCAAAATAACTAGAAGTTTTTCCTTCTTCTTCTACACATTTTTATACATTTATAAAGTTAATGTCGTAAACGTGATTATGAATCTTTGCTCCTTTTACACGAACCCCAGTGAGCTGGATATTAAATTTTTTCTGCAGAAATTGAGCATACTTTTTTACACAGATATAAAGTTCATAGATCTAACACATACAGACCTTTTTATGACTCACCGCTTAGACATGATGCCTCGCAGAAAGCAACTCGGTCATCCGTGAGCTGCAGTGGGAATAACTATGGTCAGACTTTCTCACACAGACTCATTAACACTGGGTTGACAGACACATCACACGCCAACACACGTTTAAACAACGCAAGAGACACAACTTAAAGAAGTGCCAAATTGTTCCCTTTTTGACATTAAACCATAAAAACATCTGCAAATATTGCAAATTATGTCAAAATGCATTGTACTGCATTTGCATTAAAAATTAAGCCCACAATCTTTTATAATACGAATCAATAATTATATGGTTAACATTTACATACAAAAAAGCAGTCGCTGTTATCATTGGTAAACTGTCACGATTGGTGATAAAAACCCAGAATCTGTCATGATAATAATACAATCATTCTTTAGATCACAAATAACAGTCAGATATAAGCAAATATTTCATATTAATACACAAATTGATAGCAATATATCTACCATAAACTATAAAACCTTAGTGATAAAGTATTTCATTGAAATAAATGACAAACATACCAGAAGTTGTGTGAGAACTGCTCAGCTGTGCGTCCTGCAGGTTGCATGCTGCCTGCTGAAGTTGCATTGAGCGCCCTTTTCTGACACCATCAGGTCTGGGACTCTTTGTGGGCGGAAACTGCGTGCAGACCACGCCCGCTGCCCTGTGCACAGAAACACATTATCGAAATTATTTAATCATAAAAATCAAATAACTTTATTCCCCCAGTTTTGCGGTTGTGTTGAAACCGCCCTTTTTTTTATTTAGCTACTTCTTTATTTTCACTATGGATCTGTTGTGTTTAATTAAAATAAAACATATAGCCTCCAAAAATGTGGAAATTAGATTTTTATACAATTAGATTGTAAACATTGCACTGAAACGGAGACTGATCAGTTCACATTGTTTTGAAGTCTCTTTTGAGACAAATTAACATAGACATTACTTTTATCTTATTATGGCTGTAAGTTGTTCAGTAAAGGTTGTTTAGTGTTTTTGATTAGGAACAATTAAAATAACATTGTATCTGCTGTATGCTCCCTTTTGCTCATCAGAAAGTGACTATTTTCTGTGCATTTTTTTCCATGGAGCAATATTTCGTGTCCACTGGTTGATTTCCCCTCGGAGAGTTCTTAATGGCCCCTCTCGCTCTGTAACTTGGAAATTAATTTAGCGGAGAGGAAAAGGCCATCTGCTTCCATTGTTCCTCCAGGCTCGTGCTCTACTCGTGCCCCTGATATGTCTGTCAGATCACAAGAACACCGGAATATGATTTCCCCTCAATTAGGATCCAGCATTATAAACCACTGCTCACCTAAGCGGACTGCTAACCCTACTAACACTCTGAACGTCGCTTATAAATGTATAATTTATAAGCGACCAATTTAACCAAAAAAGAAAGAAGAACGGTTAAAAGTTTCAGCCGCAGTGAGGCATTCACGGACGTTGCTCATCAGTATCAGGTTGGGGACTGATGAGGACGCATAGAGCGCGCTCTGGGGCGCATGAGTAAAAGTCAGAGCTGCAAACTGCAGCTATTGGCTGAAAACCCGACGCGACGCTATGATTTTACCTTCATAGGATGTTAAGAGAAATAAATAAACAAAGCAAAAATCAAACACAAAAAATGCATAGCCAGATGCGAGGTCGGGGCTTGGCTTTTGGCTTGGTGTGGTTTCCTTGGTTATTAAAAATCCTGTCTGAGCCATCAAGCAGTGCGTAAAACGTTCCCCGCCTCTAAAAATGTAAACGACGCGCAAGATGCAGTCGAGTTTATCTTTTAAATTGGGACAATGATGAGGAGTCCCAGACGCCAAAGGTGACTGGAAAATATGTTCAACCAAAATGATCTTCTTATGATTAACTTTCAGTGTTTAGGATGCCCTAAATTTTAGAAATGGACTTTGGTCATTAAAAACACAATCTACAATCAATGTAAGCAGGTCCATCTTTTGCTGTCCTATATCACATTACATAAAGAGACGCCAAGACTGAAGCAATGACGTCAAACATGTATGTTTGGGAGGCAACATCAGAAAAAACAGCTTTAATTTCCGTCAATGTGATGACAGAAGCATTATGGGTTTGGCGTTGGTTTAGGCGTCTGAAGCAGTTTTTTCAGACTTGTTTTTTATTTTGTCTGACAAGAAGTCCACAATATCTCATCATATAGCCTACAAGTGCAAAACAAAAAATGGACAATGTTTAAATACAAATATATCAATAACATACTTTAAAACTTGTTCTTCGGTGAATATTTTGTCTATCGTCTGCAAACATAAAACTGTTTAATAGAACGTTGCTTATACTGCTAAGCCTTTTAACTTTGCTTTAGCCATTTTCCCCAAATAGATATATCACAAAGTGTTTCATAAAGTGAAGCAAAAATGAGAAACAAGGTTAAAACACAGAAAGAGGTAAAAAAAAAAAAAAAAAAAAATCCTAAAAGTAAAAAAGCAGAATAATTGAAAATGAAATAGTTTTAGGTAAAACATCACAATACTAAAGTCTCCAAAGTAATGCACAGGACCCTACATAAGGCTTTATTAAAACAAAATATGCATTTTGAGCATTTTTTTAGGAGGCTACTGAGTTCCCATTTCTTGCATCCACAATAGCATTTGATGTTATTCTTGTATATTTTTGTAAGGTCCACATTACTGTGACCATTTTTTCTATAATCTTTTTGCTGCTGAAAACACCAAAATTTCCCCATTGTGGGACAACAAAAGGGATTTTCTATTCTATTCTATTCTATTCTATTCTATTCTATTCTATTCTATTCTATTCTATTCTATTCTATTCTATTCTATTCTATTCTATTCTATTCTAGCAAATGTTATGTCTCCTTTTGGCTTTGCTCACTGGACCTACAGACCCTTCTGGGGCTATAAAAGATCCGTGACATAGTCGGTCTTGTCTAAGTAAAGCCTCAAATAAATAAAAATAAATATGTAAATTGAACTTTATTGATCTAACAATGAAGAAATTAACTCTTTGCATTTACCCATCCTCTTTGGGGAACAATGGGAGGCCACTGTGCAGTGCCTGGGGAGCAATTGGGGGTTATGGGTCTTGCTCAGAGACTCAAAGTGCCAGTTTGTGGGAGTGGGTTTTAAACTCACAACCTCAGGATTCCAAGACCTATGCTCTAACCAACTGGCCGCCAGCCCCCCTCAAGAAAAAAATGCAAATCATATAGTGAACTCTGGAATTGCTACAAAAAAAGTGAGGCTAGAAAAGTAGAGGTCTGACATGAGTTTGTTAAGAGGACTCTAGCAAAAGCATTCTGAACCCTCTGTAAGTGCAAACATGTTTTCATGTTAAGACAAGCTAGCAGAGAAATAAATTATTCAAGATGTAATGAAATGAATTAAGGAACACTTATTTCCAGTACGGACCATGACAGATTGGATTTCAACTTAACAATATTCCTTATATGATAAAAAACAAACCAGTTCAAAGCAAAAACTAAAATGTAAAAATCAAGAGTAAAATCAGAATTGAAAACTACAACAAAAACAAGGTTTTGTGTAGGATGCAACTTCAATAGAAATATATCTGACCTCAGTAACGAGCTTGTTTTAATTATTCTCTTCCATTTAATTTGTAAAGTTTTCAGCCATCCACTTTAAATGTCCAAATACATCTAGGTGTATATCTGAATAGCATCTGCATAAGTTCAGTATTAAAATAGCTTAGGATGTGCTTGACATAGAGCAGACACAGCAGAAAAAGCAGAGGGATACATACCTTGTGACATGGTGTTAAAGAGAGAAGTTGAAGACCAATGTTTGCAGCCAAACAAGTGTTCAGATGCAAAGGTCCTGATATGCCTTCCCAATATCTCAGCCTGTCAATAAATGTGTTTTGCTTGGTTGAGTCTAGGTGTATCTTCAATCTGGAAGACTCCATGAAGCCTTACCTGCATCTCCTGACTGCTATGTCATCTGGATCTACCTCTGCCAATGTCCTGCTCTCCTTGCCTCTACAGTCGCAAATAAGCATTAAAGACTCTCCTATCTAATTTGTTCATCTTGGCTCGATCTTCCTTTCAACTGAGCTGTAATCTCATACCCTGTCCCCTTCACTGCCCTAGTCTCCCTTTGACTCTATTTATTCCCCTTCCTCCATCTTTGATTCCACCAACAGTATAAGCCTTATGGGGAAAAATCTTCTAACTTAAAATCTGCCCATTATTATCATCAGAAATGCTTACCTTTATGTCTTCTTCCAGGGCCTGAGCACCAACATATACATATTGATTCCAGTTAATAAAATCTCCAATTGCTCCTTTGGGTCTTGCTGGGAGGAAAATGTTTTAAATTCTATGTTAATGATATACTCAGACCTACAAAGTGGTGCACAGTTGTGTAACTTGTTTCAAAAAGGATTTTACATATGTAAATATGAAAAGGGAGGTAGTTAAGGCTTCCCGTCTTCATTTTAACATCCAGCCATTTTTTTTTTTTCAAATGTCACATAATTAGTAGAGTCAACCTGTTTGTAATTCTTTAAAGTCCATCTTTTCTGTGAAGGCTCAAAGAAACACATGAATGAACAAACACCATCACCAACACCAATTAACGCTGCAGGCATGTCAGGGATAAAGTTTGGAGTATGTTTTAAGAAGGCTAGGTTATAAAAAACAACATCCTACGCTTTGAACATGCTCAAAGGTGCTGGTCAATCCAAAAGGGTTTGGCACACCTGCAACACAAAAACAGCAGGATCAAATTTACTATTAGACTATTCCCTACAAATCAGTGTTAAAGGAAGAGTGATAATAAAGACTTTTTTGTTGAAAGAAAAAGAAAAAAGTGTCATACGTTTGCCGCAAACCAGAGTATCGGTAATCACGTGGAATAAAGTGCTTTTATTAGACAAGACCACAATTGTACTTTACTGCCCTCATACAAAACACTTAGATGAAAATATATATAAACTAAATAATTTAAGTTAGGTGCATATCTGAAAAAATCTGAAAATGCAGAACCCACGCTTCCAAGAGCTGGAATTTGAGACATCACTGTCAGTGGATGATATTGATCTAGCAAGATAATGCCAAAATTGAAACCAGTGGCCAACAGCTGGCATTTGTGAAGGAAAACATATTCTACACCTTACTGACATAATATGTCCATGATGATTTATGGGGATGGCAGCACCATGCTTAGATGCTTATTTTGTTTTAGCAAGATAATGGAAACTGGTAATGGTTAATGGTAAGACAGATGTATGCAGGATAAACTTAGATTCTGTAAAAGGCGTTAGTCTGGAATGCAGGTTCACATTACAAAGGGACAATGACTTTTTTTGCTCAAAAGTAATTGTTTAAATTAAATAGAGGATCCTTAGAAAAACTTGAGAATTGTCGTTCACAGACATTTCAGAATTATTGTAATGGCCTGTTTCAAAAGGAAGAATGAGCCACAATTTCAAATGCTAACAACCAAACATACATAATTCCTATATGTTAATTGACTCCAATTTGATCATAAACTGGTGAATATGTCTTCCAGACCAAAAAAACAAAGTTGTTTGCAAGTTTTACCATTCGTATTAGATGCTTTGTCAAGGCTCAGTACAGAGAACACAGTATTTAGACAGATAGATGGAAAGATATTTCAAAGGACGTTTGTTTAAAAATGACGGATCTGCAGTTAACAGCTAGGACGTCTA